AGCCAAAAATGTAATCTTTTGTCCCAGTTCTGTTTTATCTTTAACACATTTTTTTACCTTTATGTAACTTTTAATTAATGACAGAGACATTAGCCGCCAAACCAATTTTCTTTACGTATCTCTATCACTCATAAATGCAAACTCAATATCTTAAACAAATCCCTTCCATTGGCAGTGAATGTTTAAAAATTCTGTTATTCATATTCTGCTGGCTTTCCCAATGTCACAAGCTGACTATACAACTTGCTTTTAACATTTCCTTGGAAAATTGACTCTTGCTTGCCAACAGATTAGTAAGCAACTCTCTGAAGAATATGAAAGGATTGTTAATCCTGAGAAGGCCACAGAGGACACTAAACCTGTGAAGATCAAGGAGGAACCTGTGAGTGACATCACCTTTCCTGTCAGTGAGGAACTGGAGGCTGACCTTACTTCTGGAGACCAGTCACTGCCCATGGGAGTGCTTGGGGCTCAGAGTGAACGCTTCCCATCCAACCTGGAGGTTGAAGCTTCACCACAGGCTTCAAGTAAGACAAATAAATATACTCACTTTGATTCTGGGAGATCTGCCAATTTCAGTACTTCTTGCTTTTTGGAATCAAGCTCAAGAGGTAGAAGAACAAAAGCAGCAGTGGGCAGAATGAAAAGTCCTAAAACGAATACCGTTTCACCTATCTGGGGATCCCAGCATTTTTCTCTTTCTAATTAGTGAAGAGAGAATGAGCACAGCTTTACAGGCATTCTTTAAAATAATCCCTAGTTAAGATGTAGATGCAATATTGTGTTGTCCCGTTGATTACCAGGGCAGATTCAGGTGATCCAGCTGGTTTGGAAGATAACCCCTTCCTCCTTTAGTATTTTTTTTAGTATTCTGTATTGGTCCTTCTGGATGCTTATACTTAATTGAATAAGACAGCTGCCAGATAGATGGAGGAGTATTAATTGCACAAGGATGTTCTGAGTTGGGCTTCCTTGCTACAGTACTCTAACAAATTAAAGATGAAAGACATTGATATAGGGCTTCCCAGTTAGAGGTAGCTGTCTTCTTTTTCCAGACTCTGTGGAAACCTTCAGAACCAGGACAACTGACTGGTTACCTGTCAGTTAGGTTGCAAATTAGTCTGGACACTCAGTTGTTTACAAATATAAATTGTCATTTCATCAATGCACAAATGACTCAAGTAGCAAATTCTCAAATGTGGTCTAAATGGAATTAGGTCATACTTTGAAAAGTGTTGGCAGAGAGTCTTTCACTATGGAAGAATAACCATAACAGCAGCATTGCTAGAGTACATAGAGAGGTGGGAGGGCCAAAGAGAAACTGTTATGGACTTAGGGACCATGTCTCTTCAAAGGAGACTAGGTAGAGAACTGCTGTTAGCATTATGTTGTGACCATTAACTTTTCATAATGTGTGAGAGAGATGACCAGAGACCCAAACAAAAGGCAGGAAAACAAGATGGCCACATAAAAGAAGGAAGGAAGGACAGACACGCTAAACAACTGAACAAGGCCTGTGGTTGTGCCTGTCTTTGGGCTGTGAAACGAGATCTTTCTACCTGCCTAGTTTCATTTCCCTGGCTTAGAGAAAATGGAGGTAGGTGAGGTAGCGAGAAAAGTAAAAGAAATGGAAAAGAAGATAATCAGAGTTGGTAATTTTTTGGTGATGGTTAACTTTTTGGAGCAGAGAATAACAACCATATTCTCCAACCAAGTACAGAATCAGAGTAAAAACTGAGCTCAAAGAATATTAGTTGGTCCTGAGTGATATATTTACTCTACTTTGTTCTACACTTGGCTTACCACGAGGTATATGTCTGTTTTTCCTGTTTCTAGGTGCAGAGGTAAATGCTTCTCCTCTTTGGAATCTGGCCCATGTGAAAATGGAGCCTCAAGAGAGTGAAGAAGGCAATGTCTCTGGGCATGGTGTGCTGGGCAGTGATGTCTTCGAGGAGCCCATGTCAGGCATGAGTGAAGCTGGGATTCCTCAGAGCCCTGATGACTCAGATAGCAGCTATGGTTCCCACTCCACTGATAGCCTCATGGGGTCTTCCCCAGTTTTCAACCAGCGCTACAAGAAGAGGATGAGGAAAATATAAAAGGAAAAGAGGGAGATTTTTTGTCTAGACCTGCTAGACCCAACAGAAAAGGTTTTTGTGTATCTGTTTCCATAAAAATTGATTTGACTCCTGTTCTTAAACATAAGTGGTTTTTCCTAATTCCAGAGGAACTGGACGTCACCAAACAAGGTTGCATTTTACTTTTGCATCTAGTTTTTATAGTTTCCCACAACCAAGCCACCCTTCACAGATGAATTATGATGCTGGCATGGCAATCAGGAGACCAAAGCACTGTCCCCTACTGTTGTCTTAACTATGACTAGACATGTTACCTCTCTATAGCCATTTCTCTCATACAACAGAAGAATCATACTTCTTTGACCTACATTGTAGAGATGTGAGGATTTAAATGTTTGCTAACTTCCAAACTGTGCTTGAATAGACTCATAATATATGCTCATATCAGATGTCAGTTTTCATTTAACTTGATTCATTTTTGGCTCAAGTCATTGGGAATCCATTACTAATACCTAACAAGAAATGGCTAAACACAACACACCTTATCTATTAGTCAGCTTTTAAAAACTGGTTTTGCTGCTTTGGAAGTGTCTTATTTATAAGATCAGAGGTGTATGGTGACAGTCTTTCTGCTTGTTTATTCAGATAGCCCTCTCCTATCATCCACATATTTTCTTCTTTTCCAGACTTACTCCATCTATCCTCATCCTTTTTGCCTTTGTTATTTCTGCTCAGACTCACATACTTTCACCATACATCTTTTCAGTTGTTTCTTTTTCCCCTTTGTGAAAAAAGCAAACAAGTACTGTCCAAGGACAGCCTTGTGCATATTTCATTTGTTGCATTGGCTTGGTCATCAGAGGATAGCAGTCCATTAAGCACACTTTGCTTCTGCTACTGTAAGGGCAGCCTTTAAAGCATAACAATATGTACCTTTCAACTTTACATCACATCCTGAACATTACTGTTGTTACTCATCCATCAGACTATCTGTATAAAGTACTGAATCAGTATTTATTAAGTAAATGATGTAGCACTGTAGTGACTATGAATTATTAGCAAATATGCTGCTTCATGCCTTGGCGGTGGATGCCATGTTAAACTGCTCAAGTTTGGTTTTCTTTTTTTCTCTTTTCTTTTTTTTTTTTTTTTTGAGATGGAATCTCGCTCTTGCCAGGCTGGAATGCAGTGGCGCAATCTCAGCTCACTGCAACCTCCGCCTCCTGGGTTCAAGGGATTCTCCTGCCTCAGCCTCCCGAGTAGCTGGGATTACAGGCACACACCACCAAGCCCAGCTAATTTTTGTATTTTTAGTAGAGACAGGGTTTCACCATGCTGGCCAGGATGGTCTCAATCTCCTGACCTGGTGATCCGCCCACCTCAGCCTCCCAAAGTGCTGGGATTACAGGAGTGAGCTGCTGCACCCAGCCTCAAGTTTGGTTTTCTGATGCAGACTACATCTTGTAAAATTTAGACCAATCCTTTAATATAGACCAAAATAAAGCATAGCTTTAGTAAGTTCATTACTGAATGCCTTAAATGTCCCAGGTATTGAGAATGAATATGACAGAAATAAAACGGTTATAGTTTAGCATATAATTTATACTTTTGCTAACTGTAACTCCTTAGCACATTTATCTAAATGCTGTCGCAGTCTTTTTTTTTTTTTTTTTTTTGCAGATGGAGGCTTGCTCTGTCACCCAGGTTGTAGTGAGATTGTATGATCTTGGCTCACTGCAACCTCCACCTCCCAGGTTTGAGTGATTCTCCTGCCTCAGCCTCCTGAGTAGCTAGGACTACAGGCATGTGCCACCACAGCCAACTAATTTTTGTATTTTTAGTAGAGATGGGGTTTCATCATGTTGGCCAGGCTGGTCTTGAACTCCTGACCTCAAGTGATATGCCTGCCTTGGCCTCCCAAACTGCTGGGATTACAGGTGTGAACCATTACACCTAGCCTCTGTTGCAGTCTTCATTTTCCTTTATTAATGAAAGTAGCCATCTGAGAATGTATTTCATTCAGCAAATATTGCATACCAGTTATTTGCTAAGTCCTGTGCAAGGGATACAAAGATGATTAAGACTTAGCCCTTACCCTTTCGTAGCTTAAAGCATAGGGAAGACAAGTTATTCTGTAAGAAAGAGAAAAACCAAGTATGCTTGAGTTTTGCTTTGCGAATGCTCTCCTCTTAAAGAATAGTTTCAAATTTTGAGACCACTGGTTCCCACTAAGTATGGAACATTGAAATTAATACTTCATAATAAAACACTTTTATTGCTGCAGAATGTTAAATTGCAGAACAGGCACCAGATGGGCAAGACTAGGGTAATTTGAGAAGACAAATGATGTGAGGATTAGTATCTGAGAGTCACCTGGTGTTGAATTATGTCATAGGCTACTATGCACCAGAATCACATGGAAGCCTTACTAGAACAGACTGCTAGCCACCCCCCGCCCCCCACCAAGGTTTCTGAGTTCACAGGTTTTAAGAGGCAAGTTGAACAATTCCCCAGGTGATGCTGATGCTCATGGTCCATACTGTGAGAACCAATAAGTTGGAGTACTGAATCACAGAGATAGAATTCCCTGAAAGAAATGTACTGTTTTAAGATACTGTAAAATGTGGAGGCAAGGCAAACCTTTATAATGGCTGTTATGTATGAAATGTGCCTCGAACCTAAATCCATGGCCTTTGTGTAAATCACCAAGGAAACTTTGCATTAAGTTCAGAGTACAATACAAACTGGGACTAGCTCTATATTTACTCAGTATGTGCACACGGGAAACTTTAGTAAAATATCACCTCCTTATTGAGACAACTTTGGACATGTGGCCTTAAGCCTCTGTTGAACAGAAGTGAATCTATTCACAATTACATAATTTTCTAATTTGAAATCATGACAAGTAGTCTTACAACAAAGTTAAAATTAAACACTCTTTATCCAAGTCACCACTGAAATAGGATTCTGATTCATCAATCATGTCTTGCCCACTTTCTTCAACAAACCTGGCGTCCTATAATGAGCTATACAGTGTGAGGCATATTTCATACCAACGTTGGTGGATTGCCAAGAATACTCTGGCGCTGTTCTGGACAAACTCATGTTTCCCTTTTCCCTGGCTACTAATAGGAGGGCAACTCATGGTGCAGGGTCAAGGGCATGAAGCTGGGGGGGGAGGAGAGGGGCGAGTAGAGGCTATATACTCAGCCTAAAAGAGATCTGAAGTGGTCACCAAGAGACTATGTTCTTTTGATTCCATTCCTCAGCAGCCAAAGTACTTGAGTTCAAATGATAAAACCTGAAGTTGTAGGGCTGGAAGAATATGAGCTCAGTATATCCTTCCTTGCATAAATACAGGGGAAGGGCCAAGGAATAATCAGCATTAACCTGCCAGGTCCAAGGGTCTTCTCGCCCTGACTTCATCTGAGTCACAAGATTTCTCTAATAAGAGAAACTCTGCTACCCTGAAGAAAATTGTCCCTTATGGTAGCCCCCAGTCAGAGGTAAGGATAGTTCTTTCACACAGAGGTCCAAAATTCTGGACTTCTAGCAACAAGTGAAGTGTCCTAGGGTGTCCTATTTGTTGTTTCTTTTCCAGTATTGTGCCATCGATTCTTGCATAAAATTCTGGAATGCTGGCTCTTCATGGCTTTCCTCTGTAACTGCAAGGAAAAAAGGACAATTCCTTTTCAATTCTCTTTCATTAGACAAAACTGATTAAAGCCCCAATCACCCATCCATCAGAAAACAGTATGTTACTTCTAAGAAACTAAGTACTCACCTTTCTCCAAGAGGAAATGTCTCCTAGAAGCATGCCCTATCATGCTGCCCAAAATGTTTAAGTAGAAAGAATACCTCCTTCATAGTAGTTAAAATAAGGTCCCACTTGTAGGTATTTTTAACCAAGAGAAATGAAAACATATGTCTACACAAAGATCTATTTGGAAATGTTTATAGTCACTTTACTCATAACAGCTAAAATCCACCCAAATATCAATCCACTGGGGAATGGCTAAACAAATTGTGGTACATCCACAATAACAGACTATCAGCAATAAAAAAAGAACCTATTACTGATACATGCAACAACATGGATAGACTATACTACTGAATCCAAAAAGTCAAATGTAAAAGGCTAAATACTATGATTCTATTTGTATGGCATTCTGGAAAAGGTAGTATCAGTGGTTGCCAGGCACTGGGTGTTCAAGACAGGGACTGAAAAACAAGGGGCATGAGGAAGTTTTGGGGGTCGAGGTAAGTGTTCTACATTTCAACTGCGATGGTGGTTACAAGAAAGTATGTGTTTGTTAAAGTTCATCAAACTAGATACTCAAAAAGTTGAGTTTTACTGTTGGTAAATTACATCTTAAGAAATCTGATTAAATGAGGCAATTTACATATAAAACCCAGCCAAAGAACAACGAGGTTTGCTTTTTTTTTTCTCCCCTTGAGATGGAGTCTTGCTCTGTCACCCAGGCTAGAAGTGCAGTGGTGTAATCTTGGCTCGCTGCAACCTCCACCTCCTGCGTTCAAGCAGCTCTCTGCCTCAGCCTCCCAAGTAGCAGGGATTACAGGTGCTCGCCACCCCACCTGGCTAATTTTGTATTTTTAGTAGAGATGGGGTTTCACCATTTTGGCCAGGCTGGTCTTGAACTCTTAACCTCGTGATCCACCCACCCCAGCCTCCCAAAGTGCTGGGATAACTGGTGTGAGCCACCGCGCCTGGCCAAGGTTTGCTCTTGGTTATAGCTTAGACCTTAATCCTGTGGTTGTTTCTTTTTTTTGAGACCAAGTTTCACTCTTGTTGCCCAAGCTGGAGTGCAATGGTGCACTCTCGGCTCACTGCAGCCTCCACCTCCCAGGTTCAAGCAATTCTCCCACCTCAGCCTCCTGCGTAACTGGCGTTACAGGTGCCCGCCATCAAGCCTGGCTAATTTTTTGTACTTTTAGTAGAGACAGGGTTTCACCATATTGGCCAGGCTGATCCCGAACTCCTGGCATCAGGTGATCCACCCGACTCGGCCTCCCAAAGTGCTGGGATTACAGGCGTGAGCCACCGCACCTGGCCTATGGTTGTTTTACGAGTCAGATTCTGGCAGGGTGCGGTGGCTCACACCTATAATCCCATCCCTTTGGGAGGCCAAGGTGGATGGATCACTGGAGGTCAGGAGTTCGAGACCAGCTTGGCCAACATGGCGATACCCTGTCTCTACTAAAAGTACAAAAAATTAACTGGGTGTGGTGGCACACACCTGTGGTCCCAGCCACTCAGGAGGCTGAAGTGGGAGAATTGCTTGAACCCGGGTGGCAGAAGTTGCAGTGAGCCGAGATCACGCCATTGCACTCCAGCGTGGAGGACAAAAGCAAAACCCTGTCTCAAAAAATAATAATCAGATTCTGCTCACAGTCCATAAAACCATGCCAAGTGGAATTTGCGTTTCCAGAGCCATTCTATCATAGTCCATACCACCTATATATTCCTCTTTTAGAGACAGTCTTGCTTTGTCGCCCAGGCTGGAGTGCGTAGCACAATCACGGTTCACTATAGCCTCAAATTCCTGGGCTCAAGCAACTCACCCACCTCAGCCTCCCAAGCAGCTTGGACTACAGCTGTGAGCAACCACGCCCAGCCATTTTTGTTTTCTTTTTTGTGGAGACTGGGACTCACTATATTGCTCAGGATTGTCTAGAACTCCTGGCCTCAAGCAATCCTCCTGCCTTGGCCTCCTAAAGCTGTGGGATTACAGGCATGAGCCACCACACCCAGCCCTTACGTATTCTTAAAACAAAATCCTAATAACAACAAACAAAAGTCCTGGATCCCTCAAACCAAGTTAGGACCTAAAGATAAGGAGACACAAGACCAATGAAAGGCCTATAATCAGCTCAATATTAACCCGCCAGTAGGCAGGACAGGAACTTTCAATGAAGGGAACTCTTTTCTGGTGCTGTATCCTTTACCATCTCCTCTCCCCCACTACTACTGGTTACATGCTTAACAATAAGAAACTCCTGGGCAAACAACGTGAGGATAAGCAGATGCTCTGTTGCCATGAGCCACCTCAGCTACCTCTCACCTCTATGATCAATGTCATCAGTATCACTGTCTGCTTCCTCATCCTCTTCATCCAAGGTTCCACGAGTCAGGATCAATTCAGAAGGGTCCAGCACAGGAGATAAGCTGTCTACAGTAAAAACAGCTATGAGTGCATATGCCTCCTCAAAAGTTGATTTGGAATCACTAATAACATGATCATAAACTGGCAGGATGAAAGTGCTCATGATACACATAAATGCAGGATCTGACCTCTTCTAAATGTATTCTTAATACCACTCAACATTTCTATACTTAGTTCACAAAGTGCTTTCATAAGGCAAACAACTCTAGGAGTCCCATTTTTTACTTTTTTTTAAAAGATGGGGTTTCATGTTGGTCAGGCTGGTCTTGAACTCCTGACCTCAGGTGATCCACCCGCCTTGGCCTCCAAAGTGCTTGGATTACAGTCGTAAGCCACCACGCCCGGCCAGGAGTCCCATTTTTTAAGCTGAGGGAAATAATTTTTAAGAAGCTTGTCTTAGTAGTAGCATCATTCTTTTTACTGGCTCACAGCTTGGAAGGAGTGATGATGGTTTCTCCTATGAAAGCTAAAAACACCTGAACAGATCCAGTGTGCTGGTGAGTCACAGTGAAAGTGTGGAGTGCTAAGGAAGCCTCCTGGTGGAAATGTAAGTTCAGACCCCAGAAAACACAGGGTGAAATGATATTGAGGAGCCAGGGTATTATTTAAGAAGAGGAGGCAGGGGAAAAATAGAAAATCAAATACACTAACAGAAGTAAAATTCTCTATTCAGAAAAACTAATAAGGGCTGAGCTCCAGTAATGAGAAGAAAATCTAGTCAACTCACTACTGCCATGGGAGGACACGGCCACTCTCTCTTCAGGAGCCTATGAGGCTTGTGAGAGCTCGGCTAGGGAATAAGGGTGGCCAGAGGCAGCAACATCAACTGGCACAAATCTCATGGGGCCTGTGAGAAAGGAGGATGACAGGACATGCTGACAGTAAATGCTTCATTTCTGTGCCCAACTAACAATTATGCAACTATACTTTTGACTTTCCTCAAATGATTTACTTAAACTCTCCCACCCTACAACAGGTTAGCGGAGTACAGCAGACCCTTTGCAGCAGCAGTTTTAACAATCACTTGACATATTCAGAAGTGATTCTAAAGGACTGTGGCACATGAAAATGTATTTTGCTAAGGTTTGCAACAAGGATGGCACAAATGAGTTCACTTAACTGGTAAACCCAGTCTGTTTTCAGCTTTGCTGTTTAATAAAGCAATAACTTTCATGAACAGAAACATCACTCCTTTAAGAAAGATGTCCCAGAAGAACAAAAGGCTAGTGTTGCTGATAAGAAGAAAAAAAAATTATGCCCAATTTATTTTATTTTATTTTTTGAGACAGTCTCACTCCATCATCAGGCGCCAGGCTGGAGTGCAGTGGTGCCACCTCGGCTCACTGGCACTCCGCCTCCCGCGCTTAAGCAATTCTCCTGCCTCAGCCTCCCGTGTAGCTGGGACTACAGGCGTTCACCACCACACCCAGCTAATTTTTTTGTATTTTTAGTAGAGACGGGGTTTCACCATGTTGGCCAGGACGGTCTCAATCTCTTGACCTCATGATCTGCCCGCCTCGGCCTCCCAAAGTGCTGGGATTACAGGCATGAGCCACCGTGCCCAGCCCCAATTTATTACCATAAATAAATAAATGGAGCTTTTCTTTTAAGTACAGTCAATTTGATTGCAGGATCCACTAAGCTACAAGAGACTTGCAACTGAACCTTGAGGGCAGTTCATCAATATACAGGGGTCAGGGTGGAAGGCATGCTAAATGAAAACTAACCTAAAAACCCCTGGAGAGTCAATGACAAAACTAACTCAAAAAATTTTTGAAAATTCAGTAAAGTTGGCTGGTCATGGTGGCTCATGTCTGTAATCCCAGCACTCTGGGAGGCTGAGATGGGCAGATCATCTGAGGTCAGGAATTCAAGACCAGCCTCACCAACATGGAGAAACTCTGCCTCTACTAAAAATGCAAAAATTAGCCAGGCATGGTGGTGCGAACCTGTCGTCCCAGCTACTTGGGAGGCTGAGGCACGACAATCACTTGAACCTGGGAGGCAGAGGTTGCAGTGAGCCAAGATCGCACCATTGCACTCCAGCAACAGAGCTAGATTCCGCCTCAAAAATAAATACACACATACATACATTCATACATAAATTTCAAGCTGGATGCAGTGGCTCACACTTGTAATCCCAGCACTTTAAGTGGCTGAGGTGGGCAGATCACTTGAGCCCAGGAGGTCAAGTCCAACCTGGGTTAACATGGCAAAATCTCATCTCCACTAAAAATACAAAATTTAGCCAGGCACAGTGGCAGGCACCTGTACTTCCAGCTACTAAGGAGACTTAGGCAGGAGAATAGCTTGAACCCAGGAGGCGGAGGCTGCAGTGAGCCAAGATCACATCACTACGCTCCAGTCTGGGTGATAGAGCAAGACCCTGTCTCAAATAAAAATGAATTGTTTAAAAAAAAATTAGGCCGGGCGCGGTGGCTCACGCCTGTAATCCCAGCACTTTGGGAGGCCGAGGCGGGTGGATCACGAGGTCAAGAGATCGAGACCATCCTGGTCAATGTGGTGAAACCCCGTCTCCACTAAAAATACAAAAAATTAGCGGGGCATGGTGGTGCGTGCCTGTAATCCCAGCTACTCAGAGGGTGACGCAGGAGAATTGCCTGAACCCGGGAGGCGGAGGTTGCGGTGAGCCGAGATCGCGCCATTGCACTCCAGCCTGGGTAACAAGAGCGAAACTCCGTCTCAAAAAAAAAAAAAAAAAAAAAAAAAAAAATTAAAAAGAAACAGGCAAAAACTCTTAGTCAAAAAGGTTGGCTAAAACAACAAAAACAGTTTAAAAAGAAATATGAAAAACCTACATGAGGAAAACCATAAACATTCCTGAAGGACACAAGTAGACCTGACAAATACAAAGACACTCCATGGTCTTGGGCAGCAAGACTGAACATCATAGAGATGTCACTTCTCCCTAAATTAATTATGAATATCATATAATCCCAACAAAAATACCAAAAAGCTTTTTAGGGGACTAACATTGATGCTCAGTTCATGTGGAAGACCATGTAAGGACAACCAAATAAAAATTATGAGGAGAATCTGACCTAGCAGATATTGAACATAATTACATAATGAAAACAAAATGGTACAGGCATAAAAGTAAATAGTCTTTGCTCATCAAAGCAAGTTAAAAGAAAAAAAAAAGTGCGCTGGGGACAGTAGCTCATGCCTATGATCCCAACACTTTGGGAGGTCAAGGCAGGAGGGCTGCTTGAGGCCAGGAGTTCAAGACCAGCTTGGACAACATTGTGAGACCTCGTCTCTATTAAAAATGTTGTTAAAACTAGCCAGCCATGGTGGCACACACCTGTAGATCTAACTACTCGGGAGGCTGGGGCAGAGAAAAGAATAAAGTAAATGTGGTAGAATGTTGACATTTTGGGAATCTGAAGAATTATGGCAATTATTTGTATTATTTATGTAACTTTTCTGTAAATCTGAAATTTTAAGGTCAAACTGTAAAAAAGAACTTTTAATTATAAAAAAAATTGGAGGCCAGGTACGGTGGCTCACTCCTGTAATCCCAGCACTTTGGGAGGTGGAGGCGGGTGGATGACGAGGTCAGGCGCTCCAGACCATCCTGGCTAACATGGTGAAACCCTGTCTCTACTAAAAATACCAAAAAATTAGCCGAACATGGTGGCACATGCCTGTAGTCCCAGCTCCTCAGGAGGCTGAGGCAGGAAAATCGCTTGAGCCCAGAAGACAGAGGTTGCAGTGAGCCGAGATCGCGCCACTGCATTCCAGCCTGGGTGACAGAGCGAGACTCTATCTCAAAAAAAAAAATTTTTAATGAAAAAAATAAATAAATTGGGGAGAATTAAAAGTGTTAGAAACAAACCCCACCCCCAAAAAAAACCCACAGCACACTCAAGTATATTGCCAAAGTAAAGCAAAAACTTCCTGAAAGAGGAATCCAAAGTGGTATAGCTGTATAAAATTTCCAGTTGTTTGCCTCTCCAAATCCTTTATTTTTGATATATATGTATGCATATATGTGTGTTGTGTGTGTGTATATATATGTATAAAACCATATTTCCTTTATCTTTTTCTCTTTTTCTCTCTCATATATAAATAGAATCCTGCTGAGTAGAAATAAGTGTAACCTTTTTTTAGTTCCTAACACCAAGAAGCCCTCAAATACCTTTGGTAGTCCCTGCGTCCAAGGCTACAGAACCCATATCTTTTCGAAGGCGTTCTAGTTGTTCTCTCTGATGTTGGCTCTCTGCATTTGCCTGTATATACAGAGAAAAATGTCATCATATTCAAAAAGGAGCCCCAAATTAGATACCAGACTTCTCAGTGGAGATGAAGAATTATACACATACAGAGGCTACATAAAAACTGATGCAGATAAGGGACATCTGGTATAGCAACAGAAACACTAAGCAGCATAGACCTGGGCTACAGCAGAAGTTCAGACTGGAGGGCTCTACACACTGATTTAAAGGATTCAGAAACTGAACACAAAAACATTTCAAAAGAACCCTCAATTTCAAACTATTGAGTTGAGTCCAGGGTTGATCTGGAACATTTAAACGGGCTAGGGAAAATGCCTAGATAGAAAGCATTACTTTTTATTCATACCCAGGCTACAAAATGAAAAAAAAAAAAAAAAAAAAAGATACAATAAACTTTATTATATGGGGAAAAAACACAAAACCCTGAAGTAGACATAACAGGAAGGCTCAGAGACAAAGGACCCAATGAGCCTATGGAAGCAGGACACTTGATCATTTGGGATAAGAGAAGGCTGGGCATGGTGGCTCATGCTGTAATCCAGCACGACAGGAGGCCCAGAGGGGAGGATCACAGAAGCTCAGGAATTTGATACCAGCCTGGGCAACATAGCAAGACCTGTCTGTACAAAAAAATTTACAAAATAAAATTAGCCAAGGATGTGGTACACACATGCTGTCCTACCGACTCAGGTGGCTGAGATGGGAGGATCACTTAAGCCCAGCAGGTTGAGGCTGCAGTGAGCCATGATCGTGCCATTGCACTCTAGCCTGGGCAACAGAGTGAGATCCTTTCTCAACAACAAAAAAAGGAGTTGTGAACCACCACTATATTCTTAAACAAAATTCTACAACTAGCTTTAAATTGACCTCTGAAAGGGAAGAAAAATTAAGGAGACTTATTTGTAAGATACATGAAACTTCATTAGCCAATTATACCCTCAATAAAGCCACAAAAGGTTTTTTAATTAAATAAAAAAACAATAATAACCAAAACAAAAGCACTTATGTCATCAGGATTGAGCTGGGTTTTTTTAATGTCCCTTTTAGAATATGCAAATGGCGGTCTTTCTGGTCCCGGTCGCAGAAGCAATATGACGAAGGGAACGTCATCGTTTGGGAAGCGTCGTAATAAGACGCACACGTTGTGCCGCCGCTGTGGCTCTAAGGCCTACCACCTTCAGAAGTCTACCTGCGGCAAATGTGGCTACCCAGCCAAGCGCAAGAGAAAGTATAACTGGAGTGCCAAGGCTAAAAGACGAAATACCACCGGGACTGGTCGAATGAGGCACCTAAAAATTGTATACCGCAGATTCAGGCATGGATTCCGTGAAGGAACAACACCTAAACCCAAGAGGGCAGCTGTTGCGGCATCCAGTTCATCTTAAGGATTTCACCGATTAGTCACGCAATAAATGTTCTGGTTTTAAAAATAAAAAATAAAAATATACAAATGGCTTCCCTTCTTACCAGTGATTTTTTCAGACGTTCATATTCAGGCCGATACTCCCTGCAAAGAGAAACACTTTCTCAATTCCATTGCTTAATCATCTATCCTAACCACTCCCCACTGCCCCTTATCTCCTCTATTTTCCTAGGATTCTGACAATAATAAAACATCAGATGTAACAAATCTTAGTTACTGACAGAGTCTACCTAATGGAATTAAAAGCCAAGGTGCTTGTTCCCACCTTGTAACCAGGGGATGCAATCCTGACTGCTGGGCTGGAAAGATTAATACTGGTGAGAACATAATGAAGGAGCTCATCATTCATCAGAGATAAAAGGCTGAGATAAGTAAAAGGTAAGCCTGTTGAGCTCAGGACATGCAACATACAATTATGTACTTTATATAACATAACAACAATGAAAGGAGACAGGAAAGAGTCTATGCTAAGGTTTTGATAACATCCTTATGTCTAATGAATCAAAATCAAAATAACATGTCTGAAAACCAAAACGTGGTTGTTAGGATCTTGCATAATATGAAGCCAAAGACACATGCTAATAAGCTGGCTATCATGCCACGGGCCTAAGGAAAGCATATAGGTGCTCTGAATCCACTTTCCTTTAATTAAATGGAATTCCAGCATTAACAATGACAATAGTTATAACATTTATTATAAAATGTGCTTGCTATATGTTAGCAATTGTGATAGTGCTGTATACGTTTTCTCAATCATCACAACAACCTCTGTGACAAATCCAGCCCACGGCCTGTTTTCATAAATAATGTTTTACTGTAACACCAGCCAAGCCCATTCATTTACGAACTGTCTAAAGACACTTTTGTCCTACACTGGCAGAAGTCAGCAGTTGAAACAGACTGTATGGTCCACAAAGCCTGAGATATCTACTATTTAGCTCTTTATAGAAAAGTCGGATGATCCCCGCTCTTAATCACTCAATACAGTGAAGATTTATACTTCTATTAAAAAAAAAAAAAGTTAAAGGGAACGTTTTACTTCTAAGTGTGGCCTGATTCAATACACATATGGAAGGCAAATATAATACATCCATCATGAAAACATAAAGCTCTTCCTGGAAAAACTGCTATCATATCAGAATTGTGACTCATTAAGAATGTCATCGATAGAATTTTCCTTTATCCTCACCTTTCATACTCTTCAGCAGCACTGGTGACTTGCACAAAGAGTTCATCTAATCCAGTACCCAGAACAGCAGAGACACCCACCACCTGCCAAAAAGCATCATAAATACCACTAAAGAAACCACTGTATATTTCTTTTTTTTTTTTCTCTTTTTTGAGACAGAGTTTCGCTCTTGTTACCCAGGCTGGAGTGCAATGGCGCGACCTCAGCTCACTGCAACCTCCGCCTCCTGGGTTCAGGCAATTCTCCTGCCTCAGCCTCCTGAGTAGCTGGGACTACAGGCACGCGCCACCATGCCCAGCTAATTTTTTGTAGTTTTGGTAGAGACGGGGTTTCACCATGTTGACCAGGATGGTCTCGATCTCTTGACCTCGTGATCCACCTGCCTCGGCCTCCCAAAGTGCTGGGATTACAGGCGTGAGCCACCGCGCCTGGCCACTGTATATTTCTTAATGATGTATATTAACTTGTTCAAGTGTCAAAAAATCTTAATGAAAAGAGGTTTATACTTTGAGAAGTTTTTGGCAAAAAGCCAGGCTAAAAAGGAACAAAACAGCACACCTAGTCAAAAGTCATGGAAATAAGTCCGTGGGAAATAAAAAATTGGAAAAGAAAGATATGGGCTAAGTGCAGTGGCCCACACCTATACTCCCAGCACTTTGGGAGACTGAGGCAGGAGGATCCCTTGAGTCTAGGAAGTCAAGGCTGCAGTGAGCTGTGATCATGTCACTGCACTCCAGCATGGGTAAAAAAGCAAGTTCCTCTCCAAAGGAAAAAAGAAAAATAAAGATATAATTAGAACTGAAAAATTAATAAGACTTATTATCTATTCCCTAACAAACCAAACCAAATCACTTTCTATAATTTTTTGTCTATGCCTTTGCTTGGGCAATTAACTCGCTCGCTTTTGCTTACATAAATCTTACCCTTCTTCAAAGCATACCTCTAATGCTACAACCTCCAAAATCAGTCATTTTGATCTGCTGCCTCACAATCATCAGGCCCACCTTCCAACCTTTCTTAAAGTACTTACTACAATATATCATATGTTTTAGTTCTATGTGTAGCCTTCTCTCCCAAATAGACTACATACACTGAAGTTGGGGTCCCTATCTTATTCTTGTACACTCTACAATTTTTAATAAGCAATGATTTAAAAGTTATTTTTCAATAGGTAATAAGCTTCCTTTCTCAGCCAGGTTCAAAGCCAGTTCTGTGGGTTAACAGGTAATCTGGAGAGGCTGTCAGTGTGAGCAGGAGAGAAAATTTACCCTGAGTGAGCTATAAAACTCATCTAGCACCAGGCTCATTGAACGAGTCAGGTTGCTGACGTATGTGGTCTCTTGATTCAAGGCATCTTGGAAAGCCTCAAAATCCTGCATCCATTCCACTGCAAAGCTGTGGTCAATGATGTCAGTCTGTACCAGAGAGAAGTCAATTATGAGCAACCAGAGATAATAAAGGCAAAATTTATTATTTAAATTAAGTAGTGACAGCAAAGAGCATATCATCCATATTATTTTCTTTCTCTGCTTCTATTTCCCCTCCACTGCAACATGCCACAAAGAACCACAATCGTTGTGTAGTCATTGTAATTAAATGAAGATGTGTATTCTCTTAGTTGACCCTCCACTATCCATTGCCAAGTAACCAGGGCCAGAATGGACACCAGCATATTCCAGACTCTGAAGTCAAAAGGTCTCTTACATCCTAGCCATCAACCAACAGGGAAGTTTTGTATTTTTTAATTGCCACTCCCAGTAAACTAGCTGTCCCTCTTGTAATTACAGTCTTGACTCTGAGGGATAATCTACACATTATGGTTGAGGGGCTACTCTACCTTACCTAAAATAGTTTTAGACAAGAGTTAGTAACAATTACTTATTCAATTTGATTGATTGATTTTCTCAAAGTGCCTGTGAATTTGTTTCAGTAAAGCCTGAATCTGGTCTCCAGCATCTGAAATAATCCTTCTCACCCACCTAAACCTTCTAACCACAAGGTTCTGATGAAAAATGGTGAATCACAACAGGAAGAATACACTTACTTTATTCATGACCACAATGAAAGGCAGCTTGGTTTTGTATAAGATGCTGAAAACCAAACATTGAGATGTTATTTAAAAAAGCACATAAGCTCTTGCTCATCCAGTGTCAGCACGTTGGGACTAAGTAAGAGAAGGGGAATGAGTTCAGAATCTAAAAAGCAGTCATCTATTTTTTTTTTTTTTTTTTTGAGATGGAGTCTCACTCTGCCGCCAGGCTGGAGTGCAGTGGTGCAATCTTGGCTCACTGCGAACTCCGCCTCCTGGTTCAAGCAATTCTCCTGCCTCAGCCTCCTCAGTAGCTGGGACTACAGGCATACTCTACCACGCCCAGCTCATTTTTGTATTTTTAGTAGAGACGGGGTTTCACCACATTGGCCCAGATGGTCTCGATCTCTTGACCTCATGATCCACCCACCTCAGCCTCCCAAAGTGCTGGGATTACAGGTGTAGGCCACCACGCCCAGCCTATCCATTTTACATAACACTCACATCGTCTCTCCCAACAGGAAAATAATCATCACCCAGAAACAACACACACACTCTCACTCTCATTTGAAGTAATAATGCCTTAGTATTGAACTTGTTGTTTTGTCTTTTACCAAATTGGTATTTTTCTTTTTTTTTTTTTTTTTTTTTTGAGACGGAGTTTTACCTATGTTACCCAGGCTGGAGTGCAATGGCGCGATCTCGGCTCACCGCAACCTCCGCCTCCCAGGTTCAGGCAATTCTCCTGCCTCAGCCTCCTGAGTAGCTGGGATTACAGGCACGCGCCACCATGCCCAGCTAATTTTTTGTAGTTTTAGTAGAGACGGGGTTTCACCCTGTTGACCAGGATGGTCTCGATCTCTTGACCTCGTGATCCACCCGCCTCGGCCTCCCAAAGTGCTGGGATTACAGGCGTGAGCCACCGCGCCCGGCCCCAAATTGGTATTTTTCAGAGAAGAAAATGAATATTTATTGAATACCAATTGCAGGTTGAGAATTTCTTATCTGAGATACTTGGAACCAGAAGTGTTTTGGATTTCAGATTCTGGAATATTTGTAAATACTTATTGGTTAAGCATCCCAAATCTGAAAATCCAAAATCCTCCAATCAGCATTTCCTCTGAGTGTCATGTCAGTGTTCAAAAAGTCTCAGATTTTGAAGCATTTCAGATTTCAAATTTTTGGATATGGGATACTCAACCTGTGTAATCTAGGTACTGTGCTAATAAGCACTTTTATATGTATTATCTCCTTTACGCTTTACAAATGACATGTAAATAGATACAATTTTTGTTTGTGAATTATACCTCAGTAAGGCTGGGAAAAGAACATTAAAATTTTTTCCAATTTGTAAAGTAGTATTTTTAAAATGTTTCTACCCCCAGCCCTACTGAGGTATACTTGACAAATAAAAATTGTATATATTTAAGGTGTATAACAGGATATTTTGACACACGGTTGACCCTTAAACAACATGGGTTTGAACTGCAAGGTTTACTTGTATGCAGCTTTTCTTCTACCTCTGCCAGCCCTGAAATAGCAAGACCAACCCCTTCTCTTAGACTACTCAAAGTGATGATGAGAATGAAGAGTTTTATGATGATCTACTTCACTTAATGAATAGTTAATACATCTTCCCCTTATTTTCTCTAGATTAGTTTATTATATGAATACAGTATATAATATATATAATATGTGTTAATCTACTGTTTATGTTACTAGCAAGGTTTCCAATCAGCAGTAGGCCTTTGGTAATTATGTTTTGGGGGAGTCAAAGTTATATTCGGGTCTTCCACACCGAAGGGGCTGGCTCCTCTAACCCCAAAATTGTCCAAGGGTCAACTGTATGTTTATATCATGAAATGATTACCAGCTGCGTGTGGTGGCTCACACCTGTAATCCCAGCACTTTGGGAGTCTAACCTGGGAGGACTGCCTGAGCCCAAGAGTTCAAAACTAGCCTAGGCAACATGGCAAGACCCCGACTCTAAAGTAATTAATTAATAAATAATTGCCGGGGCTGGTGGCTCAAGCGTGTAATCCTAGCACTTCGGGAGGCTGAGGCGGGTGGATCACGAGGTCAAGAGATCGAGACCATCCTGGTCAACATGGTGAAACCCCGTCTCTACTAAAAATACAAAACATTAGCTGGGCATGGTGGCATGTGCCTGTAATCCCAGCTACTTAGGAGGTTGAGGCAGGAGAATTGCCTGAACCCAGGAGGCGGAGGTTGCGGTGAGCCGAGATCACGCCATTGCACTCCAGCCTGGGTAACAAGAGTGAAACTCCATCTCAAACAAAAAAAAAATTTAACTCATTAATTATTTTTTGAAAGAAATGATTACCACTATCAGACAAATCAAATAATTGCCTTTTAAACAATTATATGAAAATGGTCCAGGCACAGTGGCTCATGCCTGTAATCCCAGCACGTTGGGAGGCCAAGCAAGGTGGGCAGATCACTTGAGCTCAGGAGTTTGAGATCGGCCTGGTCAACAGAGTGAAACCCCATCTCAATTAAAAATACAAAATTAACCAAGCATGGTGATGGGCATCTGTAATCCCAGCTACTCAGGAGGCTGATGCAGGAGAATTGCTTAAACTCAGGAGGTGGAAATTGCAGTAAGCTGAGATCATGCCACCGTACTCCAGCCTGGGCGACAGAGTGAGACTCCATCTCAAAAAGTATATAAATAAATAAATAAACAATATGAAAATAAAATAATGCTGTCGATATTCGGATTTCTACTTGGATCAAGATTTCTTGCATCCAACAAAAAGGCACATCCTTTGTCATATTAGAAGAGACAAATGTTGGTGACGGCTTTTCTGTACACTCAAAATTAAATTCCCTGAGCTTTAATAACTGTCTGCTTTGCTCCTCTGTCTTAATGCACTAATATAATCCAGTGAAGCATGCCCTTTCTCTGCTAATGGTGCTACATTTGGGGCAAACTTGTGCATTTTAATTTTTTGAGACAAGGTCTCACTCTGTTGCCCAAGCTGGAGTACAGTGACATAATCACAGCTCACTGTAGTCTGGCCTCCAGGCTCAAGCAATCCTCCCACCTCTGCCTCCCAGGTAGCTGGGACTACAGGCACACACCACCATGCCTAGCTAATTTTTTGTATATTTGGTAGGGATGGGGCTTTGACCATGGTGCCCAGGCTGGTCCCAAATTCCTTGGCTTAGGCAATCCTCCCAGCACAGCCATCCCAAATGCCGAGATTTATAGGCATGAGCCACCATGCCTGGCTACCTGTGCATTTTACAATTATGGATAAATTCTCTTATTCATGGCATCTCCTCATGTTACAATTTCACTCTACCAGCATCATTCAGGCCAGAGGACTCTATTCTTCTTTTTTTTGAGACAGGGTCTTATTGCTCTAAGCTGGAGTGCAGTGGCACAATCATGGCTCACTACAGCCTCAACCACCTGAGCTCAAGCAATGCTCCCACCTCAACCTCCCAAGTAGCTGGGACTACAGGGGCATGCCACCAAGCTGGGCTAATTTTAATTTTTTGTAGAGACAGAGTCTTGTTGCCCAGCCCGTCTCAAACTCCCAAGCTCAAGTGATCATCCCGCCTTGGCCTCCCAAGCACTGGGATGACAGACCCAGTCCAGGGGACTCTATTCTATTTAGACTTGGATTTTATTCAACTGGGAACAACTATCAGACAGCTCATATTCATACATCACCTATTTTTGAAACAGCAAGGGAGGACGATCAGACCGTACTGAGAGGGAACACCAACAGCACATGTGCCTCTTTTTTCCTCTGACCTTCCTCAGCTCATAGCCACTCAACTGAATGGCAAATATGAATGAGCACAAATCCAGGGATAAGCAACCAGATTCAAAAACAAAGAGGAAGAAGAAGAGAAAAAGGCCTTATACCTTGATGGAACACTGCCCACCAATAGTCAATTACCTGCAGGCATAGAGCATGTTGGACATGAAAGTCACTGGGTTGGTACTTCTTGATGTGTCCATTACATAGATGACAACTGTTGGAAATGAGGATGCCTAAAGCCACAAAATAATCAAAGCCTTGGTCAGAGGGCTCACAACCTGCCCTCAAACTCTTTTTCCACCATCCTTAGCAAGGGAAAACCACTTTGGGCAGGGTGTGCAGAGCTTCTACAACTCCCTGCCATATAACATCCAAGGCAATTAAAAATAAATTCTCACCCAGTCTAGCCCCTCTAGCTACTCTCAGTAGCAAGTCCTAGAATACTCACAAGAGCCTCAGTGATAATTGTCCCAGAAGCTGACCAGGTGAATACCTCAATCTGTCCAGGTGTGTCAATCAACACATACCTATGTCAAGAAAGATCATTAAAAAAGTGTTACGTGTGTTATGCTAAAGGATACTCCATCATATAAGACGAAAAACATCTGGTTATCCAGCACTGGAATAAGCTCTCCACACTGCCAAATCTAACTTCCTCCTATTGCCCTAAAACTACGCTTGATGATCCCCTACACTTTGTTCAATGTCCAATATTCATGCTAATGGGCAGGAATAGCAGACCACGAGTTGCTGCAAATGATCACGGGGGAAACTATTATAGTTACAGAAACACAATGCATTAAAAATGAAAGAAGCAAAAATAGGATGTAAATCTCTTGGGAAATATCTGGTTGCTTAGGGTGGGGTGAGTGCGGTATGGAACACAGGAAGAAGAGTGGAAGGAATGGGATAGGGGAGTGCTAGCTGAAGAATGTCAGGTTACTTCTTGAGATGATTAAAATATTCTAAAATTGACTGTGGTGATTATTGTACAATCCTGTGAATATACTAAAAGCCACTGAATTATATACTTAAAACGGGTGAATTGTATGGTATGTGAATTATCTCAATAAAGCTATTTTTATGAAATGTACTGACTTTTTTGTGAATTAATTTGATATAATTACAAATTATATCAACATTTTTTTAATTGGCAAAGAATTTTAATAGACATTTCTACAAATATATACCAATGGCCAATAAGTACATTAAAAAGATGCTCAATATCATTAGTTATTAAGGAAATAAAAGTTAAAAACTATAATGAGATGACACTCTATACCCACTGGAATGGCTATAATCAAAAACAACAATAACAAATGTTGGCGAGGTTACGGAGGAACCAGATGTGGAGAAATCATATTGCAAATGGGAATGGAAAATGGGTAGCCACTAAGGGCTGAGAGGAACGGAAAATAAAGAGTAATTGGTAATGAGTATAGGGTTTCTTTTTAGGATGATGAAAATATTCTGAAGTTACATAGTAATGATCAACACATAACTCTGTGAACAGACTAAAACAACCATACACTTTCAATGAGTGAACTTTATGGTACGTGAATTATATCTTTTTTGTTTTGTTTTGTTTTTTTGAGATGGAGTCTTGCCCTGTCGCCCACGCTGGAGTGCAATGGCGCAATCTCGGCTCACTGCAACCTCCGCCTCCTGGATTCAAGCAATTCTCTTGCCTCAGCCTCCCAACTAGCTGGGGTTACAAGTGCGCGCCATCACACCCTGCTAATTTTTTGTATCTTTTTAGTAGAGACAGGGTTTCACCATGTTGGCCAGGCTGGTCTCAAACTCCTGACCTCAGGTGATCCACCCGCCTTAGCCTCCCAAAGTGCTGGAATTACAGGCGTGAGCCACCGCACCCAGCCGAATTATATCTTAATAAAGCTGTTGTTTTAAAAAAACACCTCTAGGCCAGGATTGGTGGCTCACACCTATAATTCCAGCACTTTGGGAGGCTGAGGCAAGCAGATTGGCTGAGCCCACAAGTTTCAGACCAGACTAGGCAACACAGCAAAGCAACATCTCTACAAAAAATACAAAATAGCTGGGAATGGTGGCTCACACCTGTAATCCCAGCACTTTAGGAGGCTGAGGCGGGCAGATCACTTGAGGTTAGGAGTTTGAGACCAGCCTGGCCAACATGGTGAAACCCCATCTCTACTAAAAATACAAAAATTAGTTGGGCATGGTGGCAGGCACCGGTAATACCAGCCACTCGGGAGGCTGAAGCAGGAGGATCGCTTGAACCTTGGAGGCGAAGGTTGCAGTGGGCCGAAATCATACCACCACACTCCAGCCTGGGCAATAGAGCAAGACTCTGTCCCCAAAATTAGATTTAAAAAAAAAATTAGCCAGGTATGGTAGATCATACCTTTAGTCCTAGCTACTTGGGAGGCTGAGGTGGGAAGATCACCTGAACCAGGGAGGTGGAAGCTGCAGTGAGCTGAGATTGCTACACTTAACTCCAGCCTGGGCAACAGAGCAAGACCCTGTCTCAAAACAAACAAAACAAAAGCTACCTCCAGTACCCCATCTTTGTAAAAGTATGTTTACCCATTCATCCTTCTATCTATGTATATAGAATTGTGGAATGCTAGTCACTGAATAATGGCATTACTTCTAGTGGAGATCAGGGTGATGGTTTCATCTTATAAATATCATGTATGGTTTGAATTTTTATAAATTACTTTTTTTAAAAAAAGTGAACCCTGAACAACAGCTAACTGTGTTGGTAATGACCATAAGAATATTTCCTATTTTGATACTTTTTAAAGTAAAAAATTTTCTCTGAACCATGTGGACTATATTCATTTAAATAAGACTAGAAAGGTATTTCAGAGACTTTAATGGCAACAAGCATAGTTTCCCAAGAGAAGGCAGGTGGACAACTGAATTTGGACAAAGTCTCAAAATACTTCCTAAGAAGCCATGTAAATTGTGGATCAAAGTAATTGTGGATGAAATGATATTAAATTTAGATCTATACTCTAAAGCATCATAATGATTTTCTTGCTGAACTTTTTTTTCACTCCTAATGGTTTCTCCTCAATCTATACCCTTTCAGAGGTTGATGGTATCCCAGATCCTCCATTAGGCCTAGAAATATGTCAACTACAGAGTAATAAATGGGTGCTAAACTGAAATAACTTACTTAGACACATTCTGGGCCTTCTCAATAAATTGCATCACCTAAAAGAAAAAGATGTAAATGACAATAAATTCCGATTTTAACACAAAATCACAGGACCCTCTCCAGGGTGGCATACCTCACAAGCTCTATCATCTACTGAATCTCTCAATCACCTACTGAATGTTCGCAATCTTAGGACAACAAGGAATAAACAGGCTGAACTAAGGCAGCACAGCCCCATCAGCAGCACTGCAATACCACCCTGGGGTACAACCCAAGGACCTGAGAGGCTGAAGACTTTGATCTGTCAATGTCAAGTTGTATCTCTTGTCAAAATGTTAACAGCCATGGGCCGGATGTGGTGGCTCATGCTCGTAATCCCAGCACTTTGGGAGGCCAAGGCAAGTGGATCACGAGGTCAGGAAATACAGACCATCCTGGCTAACAGGGCAAAACCCCATCTCTATTAAAAATACAAAAAATTAGCCAGGCGTGGTGACACCTGCCTGGAGGCCCAGCTACTCAGGAGGCTGAGGCAGGACAATCACTTGAACATAGGAGGTGGAAGTTGCAGTGAACCAAGATTGCACCACTATACTCCAGACTGGGCAACAGAGTGAGGCTCCATCTCAAAAACAAAGAAAATGTTAAGAGCCTGTGTCATGGCATGACATCAGAGTAAAAAAACCCAATGATTATAAAACACTCTTATGGAAGTAGGTGACAAAGAAAACCTAAAGAATGACAAACATTTATCACAAGTAAAATGCCCCATTATCTTTCCATTCCATGACTGCTAGTCCATCCCACTCCCAGATAGTCCCATCTCAGCTTCAGGGTAACGCACCACAGGCAAAGAACAGGTCAAGAAAATAACCCAGGTCTTTTGGATTTTTATTATCTATCACAAATATAAAATGTGAAGCGTCTGATAATACTGATCATCTTCTCACAGTCTACTTCTCTGTCTGACAAAATGCCTACTTATTTTCTATATTTATGGTCAGGTTTGCTACTCTTTTTTACCAATGTGATCAAGCTAAGGCATTTAAGAGTCACAGATTTTTACACAGCCATATTAGTATATTAAAGACAGGCATACCTGATCAAATCTGGTAGCAAAGAGATTGAGTGAGGTCACTATGCCACCGTTGGGCCCAAGTCCATATCTAGACACCAAGTTGAGGACTGAAATTGCTTATATGTTAGTTTATAAAGTTCATACCTAGGGTATCACTCACACAAACGGCATTATGGAATTAGTGTTCCATTAATGGATGCTGGCAGCCTAATCCTTGACTACCACACAACCCTAACCACAGGGAAACATTCACTATCAAGGTCTGGCTCACTCATTTAAGATTTAGGAATGGCCAGGCAAAAAGAAGAAAGCAAAGTGGCCAAATAGTAATACAGGTGCATCAGAGAGTGACAGCCCACTAGCATTGGCCATTCCGGCCACCTATATAATACCTCCGGCCCTGATCCTCATAAATAAATCAAGATTATAATTAGTCTTCCTACTTAGACTTGCCTACAGAGAGAGTACACACTTCACACAGCAATTTACTAAGAATTAATCCAAACTAAACCCAGTCATTTCCGAGTTTCCCAGTCTAAAGAGGTGGTGACCAATAGATGATCCTCCAAGGCAATACTACCTTGGGGGACCCAGGTAGCTATCAATTATCATATCGTACTCTCTGCTCTTTAATTACAACTGCCTGCCATCTGGGGAGATGGTAAGAAAACTAAAATCTCAAGCTGAAATAGTATTTCTAATCCCCTACCGCTCCCACAGTCAGCTTCCATCCTTTTGCTTGTATATTTTACAAGGAAAAGGCAAAAACACTTTTTCAAAGCCACAAAATACACAGACAAGAAGCCAGGAAGGAGTCAACACCAAAGCAGATGTGGAAAAGGATACTGTTTCATGACTTCTTTATACTTCACAGTGTCACGAATATCTGAGGAGAAAAAGAATTAACTGGAATGTAATACATATACATTCCCTACTAGCAAGAAAGTAAAACAGGTTTCTAGCCTTCTGTTGTCACCATTCTCTTCTACCACCTTCTCCACTTTCAAACTGGTTTCCTTCCTTACAAAGAATAAATGCCAAGTAATTCATTAAGAATGTCAGGGCTAAAAAACGAAGAAAAAAAAAAAAAGAATGTTAGGGCTAGGAGCTCTAAAGTTATGGTAGAGAGTTTTGTCTCCACAAAGTGAAAAGTTTTATACAACTTAAACATGCCTAGAAAAACAGAGGCAAAAATCAAGGGGAAAAAAATCTTCTTACTAATTGCCTACTACTGACAAGGGCAACACAAAAGCAATGCAGACATGACTTTTTTTTTTTTTTTTTTTTTTGAGACGGAGTTTCGCTCTTGTTCCCCAGGCTGGAGTGCAATGGCGCGATCTCGGCTCACCGCAACCTCCGCCTCCTGGGTTCAGGCAATTCTCCTGTCTCAGCCTCCTGAGTAGCTGGGATTACAGGCACGAGCCACCATGCCCAGCTAATTTTTTTGTAGTTTTAGTAGAGACGGGGTTTCACCATGTTGACCAGGGTGGTCTCGATCTCTTGACCTCGTGATCCACCCGCCTCGGCCTCCCTAAGTGCTGGGATTACAGGCTTGAGCCACCGCGCCCGGCCAGACATGACTTTTAAAAAAGAATTAGGCTGGGCACAGTGGCTCACACCTGTAATCCCAGCTCGCTGGGAGGCCAAGGCAGGAGGATCACTTGAGCCCAGGAGTTCAAGACAAGCCTGGGAAACATGAGAAGCCTTGTCTCTCCAAACAAAACAAAACTAGCCCAGCATGGTGGCAGGAGGCTGAGATGTGAGGATGGCTTGAGCCTGGGATGTTGAGGCTGCAGTGAGCTGTGAATCATGCCACTGCACTCCGGCTTGGGAGACAGAAACTCTGTCTAAAAAAAAAAAGAAAGAAAGAAAGACGCCTAAGATGTTTAGGAACTCAAGCAAATCCAAAGCACATGAAAGCAGATAGTTTAGAAAAAAAAGAAGGCACTGAAGACTGGCAGGCTTGAGTCTTTCCACTCTCTTTAAAGCACTTCACACAAGTTATGTTACCAGTTTACTCACCAATATTGGCAGGAAAGGGAACTTCATGTACTGCCGGATCCAGGTTGATCACATAAGGTGGAGTGCCTTGGGTATGCAGGTGTCCTGTGAGCCTCTGCAGAGATATGGGGAGAAGGTTGGAAGAAGACAAAGAGGGGACAAGAAAGAACTTCCATTCCTTTACCACCCAAGCCTTAAGAGTTTTGCACTTAGATTTTCTTCTACCTGAAATATCCACCCACTATGTCCACCTCTAAGATTCAGCTCCTAGTTCAAATGCTACCTTTCTTCATTACCTATCTAACAAAGCTTCCCCTACTCATAGTCACTTGTTTACTTGTTTTGATTTTTCGTATGTGGGTTTTCTCTGTCTCCTCCATTAAATATTTAGTCCCATGAATAAATCTTGTCAACCTCATTTTTGCTATATCCCCAATGAACGGAACATGGCAGGCGTGCAAAAAATAATTCTATGGCAAATCTTCACCAAAAACCTGTGTGCTAGCACTGTATTAATCTCTAAAGTTACTTGTAAGCTCCTGCCTTCGAGAAACTGGCAATTTTATTAGCAAGACAATTCCTGTACAACGCGGTAATCTGAACCGAGAATGCACTGAAAGTGCCCCAGAAGAAAGCCTTAATTAACCTGGCTAGGGCCCGAGGAGGCTTTGCCGGGGAAAGAACTAAAGTTGATGAGAAGTCTGCCAAAGCCACGCGCCGGTACCCTCCAACTCCTCGGAGACCTCCCTAGCTTTCTTCCTCGTTTTCCGCCTGCCGGAGGCAACCTTTCGCGCTTCCCTACTACACCCACGCTGTGTACATTACCTGTACAAAGGTGGTTTTCCCGGATCCCGCCATTCCCAACACCAACAGACACACTGGGGGCCGCGGACCCCCAGAAGCCAGGGGCTCAGCTGCAGCTGCGGGCGCCGCCATCTTCCTCCTAGCCCCGCCTACCCGACCATAGAGACACTGCGTGGCTAGAGGAACTTCCGCGACGTTCTGGGCTGCGAATGAAGACAGAACCAAGGCGTCAGAAAGGAGCGGGCCAAGGGGCGCGGCGGTGTCCGGGGCATTTTCTTAGCGTCCGGCAGGGATAAGGGGCCAACTAATGACAGAGGAGAGGAAGTGGTGTCGCTGAGCAAGCGACTGGAAGGCTGTAGGGAGCTAGGAAAAGGGCGCTGACCTCTATAGCCTAGGAAGGGCATACCCTTGTCCCCTGGAGGAGGGCGAGAAGCGATGGGGTCCCAAGGGCAGGGCTCACACAGCAGGAAAACGAGGAGAGTGCCTCTCACGTCGAACCAGCTAAGAGCGGGGGCCGGAACCACTGGAGGACCAACTGCTGGGGTTTATTCGGTAGCCAAGGAGGTTAAACCTTTGAGGGCTGGACCAGCCGGGACTGGAGCAGGGTGCGGCCTCCAGGGTTGCTGGGCAGCGCCGAGACCCTTTGAGCACTGCACGGATAAACCACGGGAACTTCCCGCACTTGCATATTGTTCCCGCGATTCGCAGGCACAGGTTCCTGATGCTAGCGTTCACTCCAAAGCAATCGCCCTCAGTGAACTACACAGTTGCCGTGACCTTGAGGATGAATGCTTGGATTCCAGGTACGAGCAGGTACTGGAGAGGAGCTTCCTCCTCGCGGAAGGGTTCTCACAAACTCAGGAAAGAAGATGAAAGAGCCTAGAAAATTATTTCTACTCCCGACCTCCCAGCCTGTTTCTGTGGCCCTTTGTAGCTGCTAACAGCATTAAGTCATAAGTTTCATACACAGGCTCTGCCACTTGCTAGTGGTGTGAGTCATGGGCAAGTCACTTAAGCTCAACCTGTTTTTTTCTTTTTAAAAACTGAGTTAATACCTTCCAGGGTTGTAGTGAACGCATGTTGCAAATGATGAGCGACATCCTTCATCCTTTACCACTAACTGTATTCCACACACCTTGCATAATGTACGGAACCATAATGGGTGCTCAGAAATCTTTTCTTGTATGAATAAAGGACAGTTGTGCGCTTATTTCCTAATTAAGAACTGAGAGAGGAATGTCTCATTTGTTCTTTCAGGTTTGCTAAAGGCCCCAGAAGGTCCTTTACACCCTATCTGACTGTAATAAACAATCTTTTCAAGCAACAGAAGTTAACAAAGGTGGAGACACGCCTTAAAGAAAAGACAATGGCGGAAATCACCGATCTGAACAAGCGTATAAAACAAGCTCAAATCCAGCGGGACCAGCAGCTGGAAGACTGCAGGCGGATATACCATGAAAAGTTACTTGTCCAGGCTGAAAACAGATTATTTCTGGAATACCTGACTGACAAAACTGAGGAGTACAGAAAGCAACCCGAGAAGGTATGGAACAGCTATTTACAAAAAAATGAAGAAATTGAACGAAGAAGACAACAATCAGCCTCCAGATATGCAGAGCAAATGTCATTGCTTAAAACAGAACTCTTGCAAAAGGAAAAGATCCAATCCAGTTTGAAGCAGAAGTTGCAGGCAATGAGGGACATTGCTATGTTAAAGGAAAAGCAGGAGAAAGAAATACAAACATTACAGGAGGAGAAAAAGAAAGTCCAAGCTGAGACAGAGGCAAAGAAACGGGAAGTACAGGCCCAGCTCCTCCAGGAGAAAAGATTACTGGAAAAACGACTGAGGGATACAGGCAAGAGGCTACTGGGAAAGAGAAAAAGAAGAGAGCTTAGTATGAAGGCCCGGGCCTTGGAGTTGACAGCTAAACAGTCTCTTTTTGAATACGCCTGTGGCATCAAAAGAGAGAACCAGCAGTCACGGAAGGAATTACTACAGCTAACTGAGCAATCCCAGAAACTAATGGCTACTGAAAGCCACTTAAAAAACCGGAAGCAGCAGCTGCAGCAGGAACGGTGTTATGTGGAGAGCTTAATCAGGGTGAGGCAGAGACTGCAAGGAAAGCATAATCAGTGCCTAAACAGACAGGACGCTCCAAAGACCACACCCAGTCTTCCCCAAGCCACCAAATCAAAGATTAATCCAGAGTAATTCCTAAAATAACACTGATTAAATAAGAACTGGAGCGAGTACTCTTAAAGTGCTACATCAACCTGGTTAGGAAGGCTTTTGAATTCCAGATTGCTATTTTAAAAGCTCCATCATCATGTGTTAGTGTAAAGGATTAGATGCTTTTATCCAACAGTCCTTCTAGGTATCTGGTAACCAGCTTTCCTTAGCTAGCTTTTTCTTTAAATACTCTTGTTAATAAACAAGATATTCCACAAACCTCCAGTTAACCTAACACATGACCCTAAGGTAGCCATTTACCATACATCAAACCAGCTAACGGAAACCAACCTAAATGCAGTATCTTCGTGGCTAAAATTTTTAAAAAAAAGCAAGCTAAGGAAGTGAAAACAGTTGTGATTTATCTAGCTAAATTAGGTTTATTTATAGAGACAGTACCTTTTAGGATAGCATTCCAAATATACTTTGAATAGCATTCTGCTCAGTAAATAACCAATATATTTATTCTCATTCCTTTAGACGGACTTAGCAGACAAAAGCAGTTCTTACAAACTCTTTGTACATTTGTGCCAGTGACCAGGTAGCTCCTTCTGTAGTTTTCTCATAAGTGAAAAAGTATTCTGGTAACAGCAAGTCCAGTAAGTGCTAGGCAGAGTGACTTTTCATCTGATGCTAAGTCCCTACAAGTTTAGCTTTAAGTAAATTGAGAAAGTAAGAGAAGATGAAGGAGACATATATTAAGTCAGCTCTTACAGGTGCACTTTCTAGTACATGAAGTATTTTTTATAATTAGTGTGTGCCATATGTTTATTCCCATTTAGTCAAACGATAAATTGTATTTTAAATCATATTTTCAGGATATATATATATATATAATATATGTAAAATTCTACAACATTGAAGTTGGACTAGTGATTTATTTGAATGCTGAATCCTAGTATAGGAATATAATCTCAATAACATTGGTCCTCTATGGGAAAATAGGATCAACTCTGTTCCCTAGAAATTGTGATGAAAAACTTCAAAATAATTTTCCTGAGTTTTCAGCTTGACTTACATGTAAAGTGAATTCACTTAAAATTGGATTTAAAAAGGATTCTCCTTCAATGTGCCTTTATCTTCGAGCTTTAACAACTTTTCTGTTAAATATGTAGTTTCTTTTTTATTAAACAATGTTATTAAATAAAAACATTTGTCCACTGGTTTTATTACTGTTCCAGTGATAAAACACATTTTCTACTTCATCACTTTTGTATTACCATTCTTGCATCTAATTCACACGTACAAATAACTAGTTTTAATGCAGCAATTAAGATTTTAGCATGCAGATACTTTAATATAAATCTCAATTTGTGAGCTGAAAATACAGAAAGACTGAACAAGGAAAGCATGGTATCCAAGACATACTTGAAAGCCTATTCTCTGGATGCAAAAACCCTAAGGCAATATATTTCTAAGGCTGATAAGAAGTTGGAAAGCAGGAAGGACATTAGTTCTTCTGTTAATTCCCTTCCTGCCACTGGTGTCCCAATTATCTAATTCAGGAGTGGGTAACTCCCACCTGATCTGTTTATTTTTACTTCTTATCATACCAGATAGTGGATGTGGCATACTGCTTGTGGCTGTCCCTTCCAGAGTGAGGGCTTGAAGACATTAAAAGCTGAATGATACCTGATTTCATACTTTGAAATCCATATCCCTAGGTGACCATTAAGTTGGCCAACTAAGATTTCAGTCTACATTTTGTCTGCTTTGCTACTTAGAAAATTACACAGGGTTATGTTACAGAAAGCAAGTTTAGATGGAAAAGACCTCTGAGGTGGAATTTAAGACCTGCTGTGAATGCTAAATGAAGCCTACAATGCAAAACTGGAGAAGAAACCATTCTAGGCAGAGGCAATAGCAAATGCAGATGCATTAAGATGGCAATAAGCTTGGTAGTTTCAAGGATCAGAAAGGTATGTGTATAAAGCATAGCTGGAGAATGGTCAGGGAACATGGGTAGAAGAAAGGAAGGTGAGGCTATTAAGGCTAGCAGTTGTGAGCACAGAGGCCTAGGCCAAGGGCTTTTAGCAGGTGAATGAGGTCTGATTTACAATTTTTAAAACTACAGCTGTTATGTGGGGTATATCCAAGCCAGAAAAAAGTGGAATGAAACCAATTAGGAAGATACTGTAGTCTAGGCAAGGGGTGATGATGGCTTAGATTGGAATAGCAGAAGAAGAGTGAACAGATTCAAAATGTAATTGATGGTAGACAGGACTTGCTAATGGATTTGCTATGAGAAAAGAGAAAGGAATCAAAATGAAGCTGGAGTAAATTTCAAAAATGTTCTCTTTTAAGGAGAAGATGTGCAGAATATATTTTTCTATGTTTTTTTGAGACAGGGTCTTGCTGTGTCACACAAGCTGGAGTGCAGTAGTGTAATCACAGCTCACTGCAGCCTCTCAACCTCCTGGGCCCAGGCAGGCCTCCCATGTCAGCCTCCTGAGTAGCTAGGACTACAGGTACACACCACAATGCCCAGCTAATTTTATTTTTTGGAGAGATGAGGTTTCACCACATTGCCCAGCTTGGTCTAGAACTCCTGGGCTCAAGCGATCCTTCAACCTCAACCTCCCAAAATGCTGGGAATACAGGCATGAGCCACCATGCCTGGCCCCAGACATTGAGACATATGCATGATAAAAGAAACCCTACTCAATTTTATAGGTTGTATAGTATTTTACTGTATGATTATATTGTAATTTATCCATTCTGATAACAGATAATTATTGTGTATTAGAGTAGGCTAACAAGAGACCCAAGAATGTACAATGTCTCAAAAGACATTTATTTCTTGCTCACTTAATAGTCTCAGATACATGTTCCTGATTGGCAAGTGGCTCTCCTTCAGGAGGTGATTAAGGGAGTCAACTGTCTTCATTTTGTGTTCTTCCATCTCCTAGAGCCCCATCATCATCTGCATTTAGCTGGAAGAAGGGTGAAGAAAGCTTGGATATACACCCACTCAAAAGTTCTAGCCTGCTAGTGGCATTCTCATTACACCACTCACACTACATGGGAAAGGAGTTAGCTGGCTTCTCCTTCACTACAGAGACTGGAGGGAAGGGGAACAACTGGGAAATATAGTCTAGCCATTTGTTCTATAATCCCATAACTTGCAAAGGTGAAGTTATGGGATTTCAGATCCCATAGATCTCCGATACATGTTTTCAGTGTTTCGCTATTGTATACTGTACTGCAATAATCATTCCTTTTTGTGTCTCTTGGTATGCCTGAACAAGAAGAGTTTCTCTGTATTTACCCAGGAGAGAAACTGCTAAGTCTTCAGGTACATAGCTTCAACTTTGCTAGATATTGCCAAATAACTTTTGAAGTGGTTGTATCAATTTGCATTTCACACCACGTATGAAAGTTCATAATACTGTCAGACTGTTTATGTTAGTCTAATGAATTAAAAAAAAAAAAAAAAAAAAAACTTTAAAAGCCAATACTATGATTAGAATAGTCTTATAGAGTCCTGCCAATCTCTGGTCTTGGTCAGGAAAAAGGAAAGGAATGCCTGCAAGGGGTCTCTGGATGAGACTGGCCAAGTTTCCTGTACTAATTCAGTTTAATCTCAAACTATTCATTTTAACCAGCATAGTTCAGGAACTAAATAACTACTGAGACAATTGCATGGAACTTATTTCAAACTCACCCCCATCTCTAGCCATCTTCTTAACCCCCCCCTACAATGTCAAGGAGTCATGCAGCAGGTCGGCGTCAAAGAACACTGGAAACATGTTTCTGAGAGTCATTTATTTCTTTTGTCATTGCCAAACATTACCCAGGTCTTACTCACCAGAAATTAACATAGCTTCTTCATTTCTCCTCCCTGATAACCCTCATCTTCTGAAAGGGCTTTAAGGGCACACTGCCAATGAAAATGCAGAGTGGATATACCATGTCCTTAACTTGTTTCAAAACTACCTATTCTGGCAGTATCCAATTTCAGGTTTCAATGCTCCCTTGTTTGAAAGTGGTCTTCACAAAAGCCCACATTTTAAAGCTATTTGGAGGAGCACACAGAGTTAAAGTGGTAATAGCCTTTCAGAATTTGAAAAGGTAGTATTTGTCTGTATCAGGGTTCATTTTGTATGTGGCACATGCCACAAAATAGGCAAGAATATATAAGACCAATATTTATGCAAAAGGGGGAAGAGAATCCAGAAACACGACAACAATGCTGCTCTAACCAATGTTCCAGAGAAAGCCACTCTCAAAGAGAAATAACCCATTAAACATTACCAGGTAGGTATGAGGTACAGAAAAAGAATTTTTCTTTCCAGCTCCAGATAAATATCTACATCTGGTGTCAAAGTCTCAGGATATAAAGAGGATAGAACGCCATATATAAAAGAGGACAGAGGACAATATTCTCAGAAAATTCAGACAGAGGTTGGCTAAGGGGATGGGTGAAAACTTAGTAGGGTGTAGACTAACAAGTGAGGTAAAGTCCAGGGAGAAGGAATGCGCACCTTGGTTTTCCCTTAGTGCCACTACCAGGAGCACTAGGAGACTGTCAAAATGTCAAGGACAATGTGATATTTCTCAATTCTTAAAACCAAAGCAAAAATAAGCTTCAGAGGGTGAAGGCCTCAGGCTTCACCTTCAGAATGGATGAGGCCTCAGGCTCCAGGAAAGTTGGAGCAGTATTTATTGCTGCTTTTACTTTTTCTTTCCAGTCATTTTAATGTTTGGGGACACATTACTCCTAAGGCTGCTTTTCACGTCTGTGGGTCTAGTCACTGCTACTTGGCACAAACAAAGCATTTCCCATATAAATTACAGCATGGGGAAGTTCATCCTAAATCCATTTTCTTACTTTTTTACTTAAAACTATATTGAGAGGACAAATAGCCACCATAAAATTTGTTTCCCAAGGAGACAGGGTAATCTTATTATATGAATGACAACAGTTCTAGCTTCTAGACTTGTTATATCACAAATACAAAATGATAAATCAGTTATGGTTTTAAAAAATTAGTTTGGAATGATTTCACAAGCTAGATGATGGAGCAGCTACTAAATCAATGGAGCTTCCAAGAACATTCTATACCCCAGGAAGGAAAGGACAACCAAAGAGGTTTCTTAGTTTTGTACAGAACAAGAGGAGCCTATAGTTGGCCTTGAAAGGGAGCTCTTTGGGCAAGATCAGAAAAAAAACAAGAGGACTCCACGAGGAATAGCAGGAAAACCTACTAAAAGGGGAGGAGGGAATCAAAGTGTAAGAAGGGAAGACTGAAATTTACACAGGAGGAAGGAGCTGAGAAAGTCACAGCCTTACACAAACAGCTGAAAGAATCTTCACTCAGTCCTCCCAGCACAGGTCCCCGTGACAACAACATCACATCTGCTTTCCTAAGAGCGCTTTTATACTGACTGCCTATTTCCTTCCTCGTTTATGATTAGTCTTTGGGAGCTTTACTTTCTGGAACTGTGCTGGCACTGGCTCCTGCTCTGGTTCCTTACAGGAGGCTGACACTACCAGTTCCTCATTATTCCTCCTCTGATCCTTCCCTACTCTAAGACTCAGCTCTGTCTCGGGAAGCTCAATGCCAGGCTGCTGCCGCCTTCTTAGACACCTTCTGCTCCTGTGCTGCTGCCTCCGCTTTTCTTCTTCTTGCTGCCGCTGCTTTATCTTCATCAGCTTTTCAAAGCTTTTGGTTGTTGTTGGGTTTACAACAAACCAATCCTAGAGAGGCAAAATAGAAACATCATCCAGTCGAAAATATAGTGAAGAACATAAAGAAAGGTGGAGGAAGAAAGGAAAAAAGGCATGATTAGGGCAGAACACAGTAAGAAGGAAACAGATATGGAACCATATCTCAGGATTCTATATTTTAAACTGGAGAAATCAATACAGAGCAGCTATTATAAGCACATATTTTGTAAGGTATAATTCTAGGTACTTTAATAAATGATCTACAGAGTCTGTTTACTTAGCATTATCCCACTCTTGTAGCTCCTGCAGTATAAATCTCATCATGAGATATAACACACTGAGCCACAGGAGATTTTTATTTCATGATGGCATTGTAGCTAAGAGCATGAATTCTGCAGCCAGACCTCCTGAGTCCAAATCCCAGCTCTGTTTCTAAATATGTGACCATGGGCAAATTACTTAACATTTTTGAGACTCACTTTAAAAAATTAAGGGGTAGGGGACACGAAATCCAATTATAAAGTATTTTTGCCAAAAAAAGAAAGAACTTCAATCTTATCAAGTGATCTGTTCAATCTTCTAAATCAATTTATAGGAAATAGCCAGGATAGGGAGTTGAGCCCAATCTCTCTACCCCACTGCAAGACACTCTGCAGTAGTCCCTGTACCTCAAAAACAAACAACAACAAAGGAAAGGAAAGGAAAGAGGAAAGGAAAGGAAAAAGGAAAGAAAGAGAAATAGCCAGGATACAGGAATACTACCATAGGATAAAATCAGCAAAATTCCAGAATATGGGTACATGCATGTGACAAGTGATCTGGTTTCTTCAATAAATGGCAAATTTGTAAAAAGGGAGAGAAAGCTTTTAGACTTGCATGGTACAATAAGATAGCTAGTAGCCATGTATGGTACATGATGTGTTTAAATGTGAGCAGAACAAATTTAAGATAGGCTTCCATGTAAAATATACGCCAAATTTTAAAGACTTGGTATGGAAAAAATGTAAAATATCTCAATAGTTGAGTTACATGTTAATAATTTTAGATATATTGGGCTTAATAAATTATTAACATTAATTTCGCCTTTTTAAAATACTTGTTTAATGTGGCTACTAGAAAATTTTAAATTTTATGTATGGCTCACAGTACATTTTTTTTGGATAATGCCACCCTAGACTAAAACAGACAAATGCAATATTTGGACTTTGTTCTAGATACTAATTTGAATAAATCAACTCTGAAAAAACATTATAAGACAATCAGGGAAAATTAATAACTAGATATATGTTAATGCTAAAATTCTTTTTTAGGTGTAATGTTTGTGGTCCTATGTTTTCAAAAGTCCTTATCTCTTAGAGATACATATTGAAAGAAGCAATTACAGCTGAAATTACATGTGGAATTTGCTTTAAAGTAAGGTTTTAAGGGAGGAGAAAAGTGAGGTTAGAAATGACACAAGGTTGGCCATACACTGATGATTGCTGAGGATGGCTGACAGCACACTGGGTTCATTATGCTATTTTGTCTATTTTCATGTGTTTGAAATTTTCTGTTAAAAAAAAGGAGTATAAGAAAATGTGGAGGTAGGAAGAAATAGGGTAAAGATGTTTTACCAATCACAAAATTCATAAATATAGGCATAAATCAATGAACAAATGCCTGGGCGCATGCCCCAAACCAAGTGAAATTTGTTGGTTCCAACTCTGTTGGTTCTAACTTTTTAGGAAGAAAATGGACAAACCAGTTAACTATATAAAGGCCAGATTTTGTCAGAAGATAATTGCCTTTTTTTTTTTCTTTCTTTTAACGAAGTCTCACTCTGTCGCCCAGGCTGGAGTGCAGTGTCGCAATCTGAAGTCACTGCAACCTCCGTCTCCTGGGTTCAAGCAATTCTCCTGCCTCAGCCTCCCAAATAGCTGGGATTACAGGTGCCCACCACCACACCCAGCTAATTTTTGCATTTTTAGTAGAGACAGGGTTTCACCATGATGGCCAGGCTGGTCTCAAACTCCTGACCTCAGGTGATCCACCAGCCTCGGCCTCCCAAAGTGCTGGGATTACGGGTGTGAGCCACCGCAACCGGTCGATAATTTGTGAATACTTCCTGAAGCAAAAAAAGATATACTATTATTACTAAAAAGCTATGACTGCCTTCAGAAGACATGCCAGATTTTGGTTAGGGATTCCGAAAGCTTATGCCAGTAAAGCAACAGAAACCAAATTTTATGGAAGTAACTAAAGCCCACATTAAGTACTATCACATTTGAGAGCAGAGAATAATAAGTAAAGGTGCTCCCTTTATTTTCCCACATCAGGCAGCTGCAGTAAGATATTCCAAGAGAATGCACATTGTATTCCTAAGCTGTTGTAGTAAGAGAATTTAATTATATCATAAATGATTTATCTGTTCACGTAAAAAACCTGTATTACGTAAAAAACCTTTCCCAAGAGAAGATTCTTGACCTTCTGAACTTTAAAGCATTTGTATACACAATTTTTAAATTTACTATGAAAAATTACAAACCTTCAGAAAAGTTGTAATAGTTCAATGAACAACCAAATTTACCATTGTTAATCTCTTTCCTTTCTGTCTTCCTTCTTTATTTCCCTCCTTCTTTTGCTGAACCATGTGCAAGTTAGCTGCAGACATCATAATACTTCATGCCTAAACACTTCAGCATACATCTGCCTAAGAACAAGGGTATTCTGCATGACTACAACTATCACCTTTGGGAATGTTAACAATGACACAATACTATTATTCAATATAGTCAGTATTCAAATTTCCCCAACTGTCTCAAGAATGTCCTTTATAGTTGTTTTATGCAGTATTTTAAACAGCATTAAAAACAGGTTGCTGGAAGACATTAGAATGCTAGAAACCATGAACATATAGAGACCACTATGAAACAAGAATTTCAAACATGTAAATTTAACCTGATTCCCAAATGTTTGACTTAATTGGATTTAAAAGAATTACAAGAGTTCAGGCCGGGTAGTACGGTGGCTCATGCCTGTAATCCCAGCATTCTGAGAAGCCGAGGCAGGCAGATCACCTAAGGTCAGCAGTTCAAGACCAACCTGGGAAACATGGCAAAACAACGTCTCTACTAAAAATACAAAAATTAGCTGGGCATGGTGGCCAGTGCCTATAATCCCAGCTACTTGGGAGGCCGAGGCGGGGAGAACTGCATGAACCCAAGAGGTAGAGGTTGCAGTGAGCGAAGATCACATCACTGCCCTCCAGCCTAGGCAACAAAGCGAGACTCTGTCTCAAAAAAAAAAAAAAAAGAAAGAAAGAAAAAGAAAAGTTCAAGGATGCTTAGGATCTCAATCTATTGCCTAGGCTGGAGCACAGTAGCACCATCAGCTCACTGTAGCCTTAAACTCCTGGGTTCAAGTGATCCTCCCACCTTGGCCTCCCAAAGTACTGGGATTAGAGGCATGAGCCACCACACCCACCCCTCACAGTGACTTCAAATACTTTCACAGAAAAATACAATTATACATCTAATTTTAGAGAATATTTTAACTCTAATGTCTCTGGTAACCACTTTAGAGTTACTTTCCTTGACAGCCTTAGCCCATAACAGCAGGGACAAATCTACCTTTCTTATGGCTTATATACAAGATCCAGAGGATTACAAAAACCTCACCTCAGCATGGACAGAGTTGATGTGATACTTGACACCACTTTCTGACACAAATTCTTTCTGACATAGAAGACATTTATACTTTCCAGCCACAAAGTTTCCCTATTTCCAAGACAGAAACAAAAAAGAATTATTGGTAAATTCAGAAACACATACCTGGGCTATGTATAGGGATTATTAGAGATGAAAAGAGGGAATTCTACTTCAGCAAGGATGAGAAGGAAAAAGATCTAATAGAGTAATACATTTAGGAAAACCAGCTTGGATGGAATTATTACCAACATAAATCCATTCTAATGCAATTCTGTTCCAATCACCCACCCTACTTCAACACAACCTGACAGTCTCCTGCTTTTTCTTAGGTAGCATGCCATATCTTCCTACCTTCCTATGCTCCTTTCACTTCACTTCCAGGTTGTCTTGGTTCCTCCCCCAAAATGATCAAATGCCCAAAATTCACCAGAGGCACCAATGTACAATGATCCACTGTTGCAAAAAGTGCCTTCCAGAATTAGAAGAGTACCATCCATAATACCTAGTTTAAGGACTCAGAAACTAGGATCAAGATGACAAACTCCTAATCATTACTGGACAGATCTGGTTTAGATGCCTACAATTCCCTTGTTGCCTTGAACTGAGACTTCTCTCCCCTCCTGAAGATTCAGGTTTCCATGGTTTTCATTTTGTGTGAGGAGATTGGAAAATGGCAGCAATTCTCATGGCTGGTAGGTTGTAGGACACCTGGGTCAACATGGAAAAGATTCAGTGAGGTGAATGGCTATTAGCCTGACACCCTATCCTACCTCCTATCCCCAGAGGCCACCATGATTCTGATGAGTTTAGAGGATCTTTACCAATCCAGATAAGCACATATAAGGTGATTCTATAAAGCCTTAGACCCACCCAAATAGGGTAGGCCCAGTGTAGGAGATGCTCAAATGAAAGCAGCTAAATCTCTTGGAATTCAGGGATAGGAACTCAGAACAAATATATTTTTCTCTAAATTCCTTTAAATTGATAATGACTTATGACTATGGTAATCTTTTCTAAGTCTTGGACATCCCTCTAACATCCCACCCAATACCAGATCAAGAATCTTTGAGATATAAAAAACTAAAGCAGCCTCTGAAGATAATGGTAAACAGGACAACTAGCTGTTCACCTAAACTGAATTCTCTTCCATGTCAGACTACTTTAGAGGACATGTTAAGATATTAAGTTTTAAAAGTTACAAACCAATGTACAAGAGCCCAGGTGAGCTTTAAGGCCAGATACACTACTGTAGACAGCCTCACAACCCTGAAAAAGAGAAGAAATAGTGTGAAGACTATGTCAAATAGCTCCCTTCTCTGAACAGTCTGGCCATTTACACTGACCAACTCTACATTTGAAGAAAGGAAACCAATAATTGGTGCCACAGACAAACAAAATAGAATATATTTGCAAACCACAAAAGCAGGAAAGGAAAAGTCAAGGAAAAGGAAAAGAAACAAGGTGAACAAGTTGTTTAGGAAAGATTAAGCCATTTCCTTCCCTCAATATTTTCTCAGACACTTAAGAGAAACGCAGAAAATTATACAGTTAGGTTTTTTTTAAATCTGATTTAGTGCAAATGTGTTCCCACTTCTTTTATATTTACTCCTCTGCAAAGTACTGAATCTACTATAGCTGTTATAGTTTAAAGATGGCTCTCTCCTTCATCTTGACTCTAGAAAATATAAAAATAAAAATATTTTAAGAATGGTAAAAATAAAGATGGCTGCTAATTCTCTTCCACTCTTGCCATCAAGAAGTGGAGTCTATTTACCCTTCCGGTGAATCTGGGTTAGTCCCATGATTCCTTTGATCAATAAAACACCATGAAAGTGATGTTGTGCAAATTCTGAAGCTAGATTTTAAGAGAGCTACAGCCCTGCTTTCATGTTCTCAAAATACTCTCTGAAAAGTCAGTCACTGTGTACCCTGCTGGTAGCCCAACTAACTCTGCTAGAAAGAGAGGCCATATGGACAGCCAAGCTCCCAGATAAATGCAGCTGCACAGAAACCATCTTGAACATTCCAGACTCACTGAGCTTCCAGCTGAATGCACTCTCATGAGTGATCCTAGTTGATGCTACATACCACAGGAGAACTGCCCTGCTGAGCTGAATTATGAACAAATATAGTAATTGTTGTTTTAGGCCACCGAGGTCCAGGTGTTTTGTCATGAAGAAATAAATAACAGAAGCAAGAACAGATGCTTAATAAACATTTACTGAATAAATGAATGAGAAAGAACCACCTGGTTAGGACACTGAATACGATGATACTTCTTGATATCTGTCTTCCATTTATGTAGTACTTCCTGGCTGAAGGTAGGTAGCCCTGGGCGAGTATATTTTAACTACAAGACAAGACAAGACAATAAGAAACATTTTATTAGATGAATCCAACTCCCAACCAAAATATCCCAAAAGTTTCACACCCAACTCTTTAGGTTATGTAATTCTGAAATCTAGGTATATTTTTGTATGCAAAAAAACTGTAAAATGTAAGACCCTGTAAAGTACCTGAAACTGGTAAGTATAATGGTCTCTTGTTTAGTCTTAGAAAAGTTTGATTTTTAACAGAGGACAAAAGACTCAGATATAATATTTCATCCACAGTTTAAAAAGAAAAAAAAAGCTACAGAGCACTATATAGAGTTAAAATATGTGTTAAAAAAGAAAGATTCACAGGTTCTAATGATTAGGAAAGAAAAAATAAATTTAAAAAATGTTAAAAGAGAGAGAGGGATACAAAGACATATTCGTATACTCATTTATAGAAATAAATGTGGATGGGTAAAAGGTTAGAAGTGTATAAATCAAATATTAACTGGTATTCTCTGGTAGAATTTTGAATCATTTTAGTATTTTTTCCTACTTATCTGCATTTCTAATTTTTCTTCAATTATAACATGCTAATTTTGGTATTTTTAAAATTCTAAAACAAAAAATTAAGGTTTAACATAAAACAGGGATATCCGTGAGAGAAATCAGGGAACAGAATACATAATATTTGCTTAAACTTCAAAAGTAGAATTATTTCTAGCACTTCCATTTATACGCTTTGACGTGAGTTGATCTCTCCTTACAACTGCAACTAGAGTTTCCAGAGAAGAGAAAGCAACCTGCACAGACAGTTCTTTCAAAGTCCACCAGGGGTAAATAGCTGTATTTCTGGGGAGTAAATAATCTTCCTGCTTTGACAATGGAAGTGTCTGAAAAGAAGCTGATTCTCTGTAACAAAACACACCCCAAGTCCATAAAGGTAATGGAGGAAGTAAGGAAGGTAGCCCAAAGAACCTCTAGGAAACATAAAAGAATAGAGTACAGGCTGGGCGTGGTGGCTCATGCCTGTAATCCCAGCACTTTGGGAGGCCGAGGCGGGCAGATCACGAGGTCAAGAGATCGAGACAATCCTGGCCAACATGGTGAAACCCCATCTCTACTAAAAACACAAAACAATTAGCTGGCCATGGTGCTGCATGCCTATAGTCCCAGCTACTTAGGAAGCTGAGACAGGAGAATTACTTGAAACCGGAAAACAGAAGTTGCAGTGAGCCAGGATCGCACCACTGCACTCCAGCCTGGCGACAGAGTGAGACTCTGTCTCAAAAAAAAAAATAGAGTACAGAGTACTTTTATAGAGTACAGAGGTGGCTTTATTTATAAGCACTTAGTCTCCTCTGAAGCTAGTATAAATGGGCCTATCTAAAAATTTTTTATAGCTCCACAGTACATAGCTTATATAAATATAGTTATACATAAATATATTATATATGATATATCATAGTTGCTATCATATTTATATAAACTATTACTATACAGTAATAAACTATCATAATTATGTAAATGAAGTACTATCCAGCTATAAAAAAAAGATGAAGATGATTTCTATGAACACATATGGAGCAATTTCCAGGATACACAGTTGACCCTTGAACAACACAAGTTTGAACTGTGCAGGTGCATTTGTGGTGGATTTTCTCAACCAAACAAGGATCAAAAATACTGTACTTTCAATACACAAAACCCATCTATACAGAAGCCCAACTTTTTATATACACGAGTTTGGCAGGGCAGAACTTAAGAATGCACAAATTTGGGTATACAAGGGGTCCTGGAACCAATTCCCCACATGTACTGAGGAACAACTATATTATTAAGTGAAATAAAGCAGAGTACAAAAAAAAATCTGCAGTAAGAAAGAGGGGATATAAGAAAATATACATGTAAAAATACAAAAAAAAAAGAAGAAAAAAATATACATGTATCTGATGATCTGTCACATAAAAATACAGGAAGGAAAAACCAAAAATGAATGAATTTGGTTAACTTTGGGGGTAAGTGAAAACACATTAGAAAGAAAAGGGGAATGGAAATGGAATAATTGGGAGGAGGAGTAGTGTCTCAGAATACATCTCTTTGCATAGGTCTGATTTAGAACCATGGTGGTTTCATATACTCCCAAAATAAATGAATAGTTACATTAAAAAGGATGTAGGGGGAACCCAAAACTTAATAAATATAACACATGAACCTATTACAAATAAGTGACACAATGATGGAAGCAGGGAAGAAAAAACCAACCTCAGTAACTTTGGAAAATACTATTTTCACTACACGCTGTAAGGCTCAAGATGAAAATAAGTATACATAAATATAGAAAATTTGTGTAGTTATAGGGGAATGAGTTGGTAATTCTGGAATTATTTTATGTACTACTAGAATTGAGCAAATAAGTAAATATACTGTGGATAATGAGAACCAGGTTTCTCACTGTTGGAGAAAGAAGTTACAAATAAGGAAAAAGAAAGGCTAGAAGGAAACTTGTGCAGTTGGATTGGAAATGAAGGTCTTATGGCTTTTAATATACATACAGACAGTCATAAAAATAAATATGAATGTGTATGTGTGCATGTATGACTATACATACATTTATAACCTAACTCTATCCACCAAGAAGGCACAGAAACAATGACACTCCAGTAGAAATGAACATAACTAGCACTAAAATGTTCATTTCTAAATATATTGTCTAATAAAAGGAACCAGGATTCCTTAGAGAAATGGTTGATTCCAGGGCTGGGGCAGGAAAAATGAAAGATAAGCCTACGGCCTGTCTTCTTGTGCCATAAAAATGTGCTAAAGAAATGAGAGGGGATGTCAAAAAGACACAGGAGCCTACTTGAAAGAGCTCTCAATTGCCAAATTGGGACACTTTGAACAGCAAAATAAATAATAATAGCATTGGATTATATCCCATGGAATAAAATAAATATCTATGAGTTTTTACTTATACAAATAAATAGAAGAAAGCAACAGATCTTTTCACAGTAGCATTCTAATCAATAACCATAGAAAAAATGATGGAAACTGAAAATCATTACATAAACATCGCAGACATAATTGCAGGCAAAAATCATCAATGGATGCTAATCTAAGTAGGCAAAAGTGTAAGAAACAGGATATGTGCATATTCCATCTCCCCACAAAATGTTCACTAATTAAAAGTGGGAAGATTGTAGTTTGCCATGGAGATACTTAGAAAACACACCCCAAGCACCTGATCAAAGTTTTCATTGTCATTAAGAGACGTAGCAACATCATATACCTTTCGATATGATACATGGAGAAGGGCCAACATTACTTCAGTGGTATTCTTGCCAAACACATATAGAACTCTCAACCTAATCTTGAGAAAATATCGTGTAAATCCATATTGGGAAACGTTCTACAAAACAATCAACCAATTCTCTTCAACAGCATCAAGAACACGAAAGACAAAGCCAGGGGAACTGTAACAGATTGGAAGAGACTAAGGAGACACAGAAATGAAATAAAATGTTGTATCCTGATAGTATCCTAAGGTATGGTTATGTAAGATGCTGGCATTAGGAGAAGCTGGGTGAAGAGCATTTGGAAACTCTGTGCTAATTCTGCAACTGTTCAGTAAGTCTAAAATTATTTCAAAATTAAGAGTTTTTTAAAAAGAATACACACTGCTTATATGCACATCAGGAAACAGTGGAAAGACGCACAAGAAGCTAGTAAGTATGGTTAATTTAACCATGGGGACAGGACAGAACAAGGACAGGGTGGGTAACTCAATGTTTATCATCATTTTGACTTTTTGAACCATTTGAAGAATATGTTATTTACTCAAAAAGATTAAATTTTTATATTTAAGAAAGAACAATGCCTTTTACCTATACATTGTCAAAAATATAAACTGGGTCATGCAGAGTGGCTCACGCCTGTAATCCTAGCACTTTGGAAGGCCAAGGCAGCCAGATTGCCCGAGCTCAGGAGTTTGAGATCAGCCTAGGCAAGATGGCAAAACCTCATCTCTACAAAAACAAAAAAAAATTTCAAAAAATTAGCCAGGTATGGTTGTATGCACCTGTAATCCCAGCTGCTTGGGAGGCTGAGGCACAAGAATCACTTGAACCTGGGAGGCGGGGGATGCAGTGAGCAGAGGTGGCACCATCTCACTCCAGCCTGGATGACAGAACAAGACTCTGTCTCAAAAACTCATCAATCAATCAATCCATCAATCTATCTATCTATATCTCTAGTTGGTTTTAGGAAAGCATCTGCTGGATGAGAATACCCAATTTTATCAACGAGTTAACAAATACTGATTGATTGATTAATTGATTGAGATGAAGTCTTGCTCTGTGGCCCAGGCTAGAGTGCAGTGGCATGATCTTGGCTCACTGCAACCTCCGCCTCCCAGGTTCAAATGATTCTCCTGCCTCAGCCTCCTCAGTAGCTGGAACTACAGGAGTGCACCACCACACCTAGCTAATTTTTCTTTTTTGAGACAAAATTCCACTCTTATCGCCCAGGCTAGAGTGCAATGGCGCAATCTCAGCTCACTGCAACCTTTGCCTTCCAGGTTCAAGTGATTCTCCCACCTCAGTCTCCTGAGTAGCTGGGATTACAAGCACCCACCACGACGCCCAGCTAATTTTTGTATTTTTAGTAGAGAAGGGTTTCGCCATGTTAGCCAGGCTGGTCTCGAACAGCTGACCTCAGGTGATCGGCCTACCTCGGCCTCCCAGAATGTTGGGATTACAGGTAATAGAGCCACTGTACCCAGCCACTAATTTTTTAATATTTTTAGTAGAGACAGGTTTCATCATGTTGGCAAGGCTGGTCTTGAACTCCTGACCCTCAGGTGATCCTCGCACCTTGTCTTCCCAAAGTGCTGGGATTACAGGAGTGAGCCACCATGCCCGGCCAGTTAACAAATATTTAAATTTCCTTATGACATCTATGCACAGTGAAACCTGACTATAATATCATGAGATAATATCACTATGCAAAACCCACATTTAAATTGGATTTAGATAGCCATGTACTTTAGCCTGTAGCAGGAAAAAAAAATGTAGAAATAAGTCCAAAATAAGAAAGTATATCTGATATTCAAAAATACAATCCAATTCCTTGGACACCAAGAGCGTCCACCAGGTGGGCACACCTATCACCTTGGGACTGATTTTTAAACCAAAAAAGATGTAAGTGTTAGAAACTAGAATATGATCTTATTTTCTTTCTTTTTTCTTTTTTTTTTTTTTTTTTTCAGTGTTAAGGAATAGAGAGAGATGGAGTTCAGGAGGAGAAGACAGGTTTCCACGAGAGAATGTGGAAGGGGACTCCAGAGGGAAAATCCAGGAGAGAGAAAGACGGCTTCCACAAAGGGAGTATTTGTGGAAGGGGACCCAAACATGGAGACCCTCTTTTTTTTCTTTCTTTGAGATGGAGTCTCACTTTGTTGCCCAGGCTGAAATACAGTGGCACGGTCTTGGTTCACTACAACCTCCACCTTCTGGGTTGAAGCAATTCTCCTGCCTCAGCCTCCTGAGTAGCTGGGATTACAGGCACATGCCACCACTCCTGGCTAAGTTTTGTATTTTTAGTAGAGACAGGGTTTCATCATGTTGGTCAAGCTGGTCTCAAGCTCCTGACCTCGTGATCTGCCGGCCTCAGCCTCCCAAAGTGCTGGGATTACAGGTGTGAGCCACCACACCCGGCCTGACCTTATTTTCTTGTAAGACATAACATTCCTCTCACATAGGTCAGAGCCCTATGCCAAATGTGAACTTCTTGATACCCTGGAGAATAAGAGGCCCTTCCCAGCACTTTGGGAGGCCAAGGCAGACAGATCACAAGGTCAAGAGATGGAGACCATCTTGGCCAACATGGTGAAACCCCGTCTCTACTAAAAATACAAAAATTAGCTGGGCATAGTGGCACGCGCCTGTAGTCTCAGCTACTCGGGAGGCTGAGGCAGGAGAATTGCCTGAACCTGGGAGGCGGAGGTTGCAGTGAGACGAGACCGCACCACTGCACTCCAGCCTGGCACCTGGCGATGGAGCAAGACTCTGTCTCAAAAAAAAAAAGAGGCCCTTCGCTCCTATCTTACTCCTTATTATGTATCCCTTCAACCTGTTCCCAAGACTATCCCATAATCATATATCCCTGTCTCCTTTTGTTTAAATAATGCCCCTTCCTCTATGATCTATTCTAATAAGTCCAAGGGCTTCCAAACATGTTCTGCACCCCTCAGAAGTATGCTTGGGGCCATGTAGGGGAAAAACAAAAGTATCATGAAGAAAAAGGCCAAGTAGAAAAGGCTTTGGGCTCACTACTCACAGTCACTCAGAGCAAATCTGTTTTTAAGTTATTTTATATACTGGTGTTTTGCATAAGATTTTATTTTGAAAAAAGCGGGAGAGAGGAGTTCTGTTACTACAAAACAAACTGAAACCACTTATCTAAACTAAATAGAAACTACTATATATGAGCTAGCAAAACAAAACAAAAACACATTAAACAAAGATTAAACAAAAATCTAATCTGGGAATTCAGGTTCCCTCTGGAAGTAGTTCAGAATTAAGAAGGCCCTTTAATTCTGAACTACTTCTTTAAGAAACTTATGAAACAGACTGTCACTCTAGAACCTAACTGAATCCAAACACTGAAACTAGATCAGATGTACTCTATATCCAAGGATAAATAAACAAAATACTTCGTATCACATACACACTCAAGTGCATTTACTTTTCTTTTTACAGAAGGCACAATATTAGAAATAATGGTTCCCAAATTGATATATGCTTCTGCCTTACCTTTCGATCATCAGGCACCAGGTCCTGAAGCACCTTCCTCTTGGGCCATTCCTTGGCCAGTTCAGCAGAGGCCAGCTCCTGCAGGTGGTATACAGCTATCTTGGCAGAACGTCTCTGAACTCGGCCCCCACTCTTTGACTCTAGGTTCATTTCCTTTAAGCACTCTGGCTGTCCTGACTCTGGAAAGAAGGAGATCTGCAAGAAAGAGACACAGCAAAGCATAGGCCTGATAAGTGGCATCCATCAGAGCCAGTGATTAAAGGCTGAGCTTCCTGCTCTAAATATCAAAAGAGCTAGGTAGTAGATTGTTAACCACTAGCATCAAGTTCCACCATATTAATGCATATTTTATGGGTAAAAAAGCTTCTCAGGGCCGGGTGTGGTAGCTCATTCCTGTAATCCCAGCACTTTGGGAGGGCAAGGCGGGTGGACCCCCTGAGGTCAGAAGTTCGAGACCAGCCTGGCCAACATGATGAAACAGTCTCTACTAAAAATACAAAAATTAGCCAGGTGCAGTGGTGAGCACCTGTAATCCCACCTACTCGGGAGTCTGAGGCAGGAGAATCGCTTGAAACCGGGGGGTAGAAGTTGCAGTGAGCCAAGATCGCACCACTGCACTCCAACCTGGGCAACAGAGTGAGACTCTGTCTCAAGAAAAGAAAAGAAAGAAAATCATACACTGAATTAAGCAAAGATTTCTTCGATGCAACAAAAGCATTATCCATAAATGAAAAAATATATAAATTGAACTATACCAAAATCTAAAACTCTGTTCTTCAAAAGACAATGTTAAAAAAGATAAAGAACTTATATCCAGAATGATAAAAAAAAAAACTCAGGGCCGGGCGCGGTGGCTCAAGCCTGTAATCCCAGCACTTTGGGAGGCCGAGGCGGGTGGATCATGAGGTCAAGAGATCGAGACCATCCTGGTCAACATGGTGAAACCCCGTCTCTACTAAAAATACAAAAAATTAGCTGGGCATGGTGGTGTGTGCCTGTAATCCCAGCTACTCAGGAGGCTGAGGCAGGAGAATTGCCTGAACCCGGGAGGCGGAGGTTGCGGTGAGCCGAGATCGCGCCATTGCACTCCAGCCTGGGTAACAAGAGCGAAACTCCGTCTCAAAAAAAAAAAAAAAAAAAAAAAAAAAAAAACTCAGAATATATCCCTAACTTAATTAGACAACAAAATCCTTCCCCCAAAATGAACAAAGGATTTGAACAGAGACTTCATTAAAGTCATACAAATTACCAATAAGCACATGCAAAGATGGTCAACAACATTAAGCATTGTTAGTCATTAGGGAAATGAAAATTTAAACCATAGTAAAATACTACTACATATCTATTAGAATGGATCAAAAAATAAAATTGACAATAATAAATGTAGACAAGGATGCAAAATAACTGGTGTTCTCATACTTTGCTGGTGGGAATGCAAAATGGCACAGCCACTTTGGGAAACAGTGCTGCACTTTCTATGAAGTTAAATATACATTAATCCATATGACCCAGAAATCTCATTCCTAAGTATTTACCCAAGGGAAATTAAAATTTATTTTCACATAAAAATCTTTTTTGCCGGTGCAGTGGCTCACACCTGTAAATCCCAGGATTTTGGGAGGCCGAGGCAGACAGATCACTTGAGGAGTTCAAGACCAGTCTGGCCAACATGGCAAACACTCATCTCTACTATAAATACAAAAATTAGCTGGGCACGGTGGCACATGTCTGTAATCCCAGCTACTAGGGAGGCTGGGGTGGGAGGATGGCTTGAGCCCAGGAGGCAGAGGTTGCAGTGAGCCAAGGCAGCGCCACTGCACTCTAGCCGGGGTGAAACAGCAAGACCCTGTCTCAGAAAAACAAAACACAACCTTTTTGTTTTTCTGTTTTTGAGTCAGGGTCTTGCTCTGTCACCCAGGCTGGAGTGCAGTGGCACCATCTCGGCTTACTGCAACCTCTGCTAGACAGATGCCCATAAAAGTTCTAGCTACAGGGGAATGCCTTTAGTTTTAAAAATATAATAATGAGGCCAGGCACAGTGGCTCACGTCTATAATTCCAGCACTTTGGGAGGCCGAGGTGGGCAGATCACCTGAGATAGGGAGTTCAAGACCAGCCTAGACAACATGATAAAGCCCTGTCTCTACTAAAAATACAAAAATTAGCGTAGTGGCACGTGCCTTTAATTCCAACTACTCAGGAAGCTGAGGTGAGAGAATCACTTAAACCTGGGAGGTGGAGGTTGCAATGAGCCAAGATTGAGCTACTGCACTCCAGCCTGGGTAACAGAGGGAGACTCTGTCAAATGAATGAATGAATGAATGAATGGGCACATTGGCTCATGTCTATAATCCCAGCACTTTGAGAAGTCAAGGTAAGAGGAATGCTTGAGGCCAGGAGTTCAAGACTGGCCTGTGCTACATAATGAGAACCCTATCTCTATAAAAAATTAAAAACAAAAAAATTAGCTGGGCATGTGATACAAGCCTGTAGTCCTGGCTACTTAGGAGTCTGAGACAAGAAGATGGCTGAGCCCAAGAGTTCAAGGCTGTAGAGAGCTATGATCCCACCATGGCACTCCAGCCTGAGAGAGCAAGATCTTGTCTCTCAAAAAAATGTGTGTTTATGTATATATATATGTAATATATAAAAATATATAAGATATATAACATATAAATATAAAATACATAATAATGAGTTTACTTCTGCCTGGACTATTCTTTGAATTTTGATTTATCTAACCTAATAATGTTCAAAAGACAGAAATAACAAAAGGACAAAGAAGAGACAGCACAAGCATTCAGAGATTAAAAGAGGATTCAAATGAGGAACAAAACACATATGGGAAGATAGAGGGGGGTAAGGACTCACCACAAAATACATCCCCAACCAGGGTATAGAAAGGGATCAGTACTCACAGGCCCATGCTCTGACCTCAGGTGATACGCAAGTCCAGCCTTCGACCTATATGGTTTTCCACAGTGGTGACATTTCAGGGTCATCTTTTCCAGCTCTGCAGCCCCTTTGCCACATTTTCTGACATGGTAGAGATATCCCATGATGCTGGTGAAGCTACTGGAGCAACTCTGAACACAGGAGAGAAGCCTAAACTATAATCTTACATCTTTGGACATGATCGCTAAATTTCTAAACAGCCATAAAGTACTCACCACCACAAAATACAAACAGGCCCTCTGATTTCGGTAGACTCTCTCCAACATCTCCTATCAGCACAACCTTCCTTGTCTCTGGTCATCCTGCTATGACCAAGCATGATTTTGAATCAGCTTGGTCAGCCCTTGATAAACTATAACTGTGCATCTACTCTATGTCAGAGCTTCCTCCTTGGTCTGTGATCCAATCCCATCCCAATCAAATACCCAGCAATATGTACCACAGTTCAGCACAGTGAGGGGTTACTGGGATCCTCTTCATCACATTAAAGAAAGGATGGTAAGGAAACCCCATCAAACAAAGGGAAAGGGGAGAAAAATAAATTTTTTTTAATGAGGAAGAAAATAAAGAACTATTAATGAGTTCAAGACCCCAAGATAGTACAGAACTAGGAGGTCTACAATGAGGAAGAGAAGAAATGGAAAAGAAGAACGAAAGACATTGACCTGAGAATTCAGGGAGAAGGAGTTGTGTCCGTGGTCTCCTACCTCACGCATGCACCTGAGCTTTCCCAGTCTCTTAAGAACTGTTCGGAGCCGTTCCCTCTCACTTGGCTCATCTATTTCATCTCCGGCTTTCAAAATGGGCTAGAAATCAAGAGAAGTAAACAAGCAGATGATTCATAGAAAAGAGACACGGGGAAAAAAATATCAAAGAAGAATCAAGGATTGGACTAGCAGCTAAGCTGGTGCTGATGAATCCCAAGTTATCTGACTCCTGGCTTTCTCCATCTTCTCCTGGACAAAGGAAGTGAATATAATGGAAATAAGAGTTCTGAGCCTCTACCTCCCAGAACATAAACCTTTAGAGCTAACCTAAACACACAAATATTTATGGATCTACTGCAAAGGTTTCATTGTGCATGACTCTTACTCATACTCTTACAAAATCCAAGAGCTATCTGCACTGAGATATCTATATTCACGTAAGTAAAAGGCATCCAAGCTGGGCACGGTGGCTTATGCCTGTAATCCCAGCACTTTGGGAGGCTGAGGCAGATGGATCACCTGAGGTCAGGAGTTCAAGACCAGACTGGCCAACATGGTGAAACCCAGTCTCTACTAAAAATACAAAAACTGAGCCGGGCGTGGTGGCATGCACCTGTAGTCCCAGCTACTCGAGAGGCTGAGGCATGAGAATTGCTTGCACCTGGGAGGGTAGATGTTGCAGTGATTGCGCCACTGCACTCCAGCCTGGGCGACAGAGTGAGACTCCATCTCAAACAAACACCCACCCACCCAAACACTCACAAAGGCAGAAGACACTCTTACCAAACTATTATGATTTGCCATGACGTGATACTTCATCCCTGCCAGTGAACGAAGTTGTTTCCCACAATGATGACAAGTAAACATTTCCTAAAAGGAAAAATACTGCTCAGTGCTAGGTTGTTCCACAGAGAGACAGAATGACACAAAGTCCTACTCAAATGCTTTTGTCTATGTCTCCTTTATTTCTCAAACTCAACAGTCAATAAACCTCAAAATCCCAGAAACCCAGTGTCATGTCCTTAAGGGCAAAATAAAAGCAATTCACTTTTAAAATAGTAAGAATTACCATTTACTGAATGCCAGTATTTGCCAAGTAATGGGTTAGACACTTGACCACGTGTTACTTCTTTCTTATCCTCTCCTGGACTATATAAGGTTTTTATTATTTCATATGTATTATATTTTCTCCATTTTACAAATGAAGCTGAGGTACACACTTAAAAAGCTAAATGCCACACTAGTATGTGGCTAAGAAAAGATTCAAACCTAACTGTCAGATCCAAAGCCTATGTTTCCTTTATTACACAATGCTGCTTTTCATCCATTATAACCAGCACATCCAACACAGCAAAAGAGGTCTAAAGTTTGGATTTAAAATCGTAACAGTAACGAAATGCCAAAATATCTAACCTGCTTGCAGTTTTCCATGTGTTTCTTTAAACCCTCTATGGTCTTCCTCCCCACTGCCTGGCAGGTAGGGCAGGAGACACTGCCTTTATCAACGATTTCTAAGTACCACTGCTCCTCCAAACTGCCTACAAAGGAGAGAAAGAAACACTTTGTAATCTGCAGTATTCTCCAAAAACAAAAAGCATAATCCCACAATTTAGGAAAAGTATCATAAAATGCTTTTTCCTTTTCCTGGTAGACTGTAACAAAGAGACTCTTGCTGGGTATAACTTCTAATAGTAGTATTTTTCAGACAGTGTAGTTTCTGAAAACTCATTCTCATTTCTCCATGATAAAAACCACCTGAGAACCACTCCAAAGACCAGTGGCTTAAAGAACTAGGCAGCAACATTTTTCACAACAGGATATAACAATGGGATACTGAGAAATGTCACAGCCTATCTGCTGAGTGTTTCTATGTGCCTGAGACTATGCTAAATGTTTTTATCTATTTAATTTTCACAACAGTTCTGACTGCCTTTATCATCCCTATTCATAGGCAGGGAAACTGAGGCTAGAAGAAGGTAAATAAATGAAGGCAGGTCAGAAAGTTAATGAAGAGCCAAAACTTGAGCAAAGGTCTGTCTGACTCCAAACTTGGGCCCTTAGTAACTGCCTCCTTAAAGAAATGCTTCAGTACCTCATTTCTTCACAGACAACACCAACAACAAATCAGGGTGTGAGAACTACATCCCACAATGGTTCCAGAAGAAAACATACCTGCTGCATAAACTGGTGGTTCCTTCCGAATGCGACGAGCCTGGGATTTGGGATTGGGCTGAGTTTTAGGCCGTTGCTTCCTCCCTGACACAAGACAGAAACTTGAAGCCCAACATGTCACCTTTACTAATACCAAAATGTCTTCCCTCCCCTTCTCTTCAACACCCTATTTCCCAGTCCCTCAACAGACTGACTGCCTAAGTCATGACATAATGAAAGGGTATAAGGCGGCAGGATGGAGACCATTCCCTCTTAAACAATTCAAAGGGCTCAGAGGTCACTAAAGGGCTCAAACTAAGGTCTCTTTTTCTTTTACCCTCAAAGAATAAAGCCCAGTCACCCAAGGAAAAAGAAGTAGCAAAGTTACTGCCTTACCATAAAGCTTATGCTTCTTCTGAGGAAATTCTCGATAGTCTTCATCTTCTTCCTGCCTGGGTTTCCTTTTTCCCTTGGTTGATACTCCACCTGACCCTGAAGTACCATACAAAAACAAAACAAAAACTCAGCACACTTTGTAAATAACAGCTAGGCCTGCCTTCAAAACATCATTCACGAGACCATCAAAAGGAAAAAGCATCAGTGAACACAGGACTCAGGAACTATCTGTGAGATTTTTAGGGAACCTGGTGTAACTTCTCATCAACTGACCCAACCTCCCTCTTTCTTTTTACCTTGTTGTCTATCCCAAACCATCCATTGTTCCTTATAAACAGTAAGGGCCTTCAGGCAATGTGTTTTGCTTAATCTTGATTTGAGACTAAAAAGGAGCACAAGAGTTGCTCAAGATAGAGGGCTAGCTATCCAAGGACCCTTGAGACTGTGACCATCTAGAATATTCTCCCCTAAATAACCCTTACACTAGCCCCTAAATCATCAACAGAAGTTCAAACTAGAAGAAAAGAGGAAAAGAAGTTCAAATCCTACAAAGAGGAAAATCAAATGCTAAGTATAACCTAGCAGAATTTTATTCTATCAGACAGTTCATGAAGCTAACAGGGTCCAATAGCCTAACACCTTAAATTTTTTAAAATCACTAATGAGAAACAAATATCTGGCATTTGATACCCTTAAGAGGTATTTACAATAATCTCACACTATAACTTTAGGGAGTGTTCCATCTCTGGAATAAGAAGACACTGATATTGATACCTTCAACATGAGAAGTAGCAGCTGGCTTGATCCTTCTCATCTTCATCCAGTAGGTAGATTTTCGAAAAGATGCTGGAAAATCACTCACTGGTTCACACGAAGAGGCAGATGATGAACCACTTAAGGAGTCATCATGAGGAATAGTGTACTGGAAACTATTATCCTTTATGGAGCACTGGGTCCTGCTACTAATACAACATAAAAATATACACCACAAAGGAAGGTCTGTAGCAAAATTTCTATACATTCTTTTATATTATAACCAGGTTGGTTACCTGTGCAGAAAACTAAGAAGCCTGCTTTTATAAAAACAGAATGTAAGTTGTAATCATCTAACAATAGCAATAGCTGATCTAATACAACATGTGCAATTATTATCACTCTTCACTGTAATCAGCAAGAGTAAGGAGTACACATAAATGATCACTTTGCAGTCCAAGTAGACACTCCTTCCTAGATTCATCTAAGAAAAGAAAGTAGCCAAAGCAATAAGGTTGTTCTGTGACCCTTCAGAAGACTTCCTGGATTTGTAACCTGGTCTGACCCAGCCGCTCTATTTCTCTGACAGAGGCACGGTAACTCAAGGGTATCTCTAAGGGAAAGGAATATCTGTAGGGCCTAATCTGACCCATCTTTCTTCTCCCTCAGCATTCTCCCTAAACCCTGATGCCCCATCTTATTTAGGCAACATGATACTTAGCTTCCACAGCTAAAGGAGGGATGCTATCTTGTATGAATTAATCTGGCCAGAGAATTCTGGTATACGGCTGAATCCAGAGTCCAAAATTTAAGACCAGTCAGTATGACAATTAACAAACATGACTGTGTAACTACAAAGCATCAGACACTCTTGTAGATGGCTCAAGATACAGTAGAGCAGCAATTCTCCAAGAGTGGTCTAGGGACTCCTAGAACCTCCCTTTTCCAGCTTAATACCTGTGAGGCCTATTTTAGATGTACAGTTCAGAAAGATCCTTCTGGCTGCTGTATGGAGACAGACCATGGGAGAAAAAGTAAACAAAAGGAAAAAAAGTTAACTTGAATTGGAAGATTCACAATAACACTTCAGATATAGAGCTAATAAGAATTATACATAGAGCGGTGGCTCATGCCTGTAATCCCAGCACTTTGGGAGGCCAAGGCGGGTGGATCACCTGAGGCCAGGAGTTTGAGACCAGCCTGACCAACATGCTGAAACCCCGTCTCTACTAAAAATAAAAAAAATTAGCTGGACGTGGTGGTGTATGCCTGTAATTCCAGCTACTGGGGAGGCTGAGATAGGAGAATTGCTTGAACCCAGGAAGCAGAGGTTGCAGTGAGTTGAGATCGCACCGTTGCACTCCAGCCTGGGCAACAAGAGTGAAACTCCATCTCAAAAAAAAAAAGAATTACACATACAGAGGTTTGTCTGTGACCACCCTTGTAAAATGTGATAGATGCCTGCTATGCATAGAATACTATGTTGCTATTAGAAGCAATAAACCAATTCCATACATAGAGACACGAACATAACTAAAAAGCATACTATTGAAGGAAAAAAGAAACAAAACAACATCTCTAGCACAATGTCAATTCAGCAAGCTAAAAACAAATCCTCACATAAACGCAGCTTATTTTTAAAGGAGTCATAAATATTTAAGGACAAACATCACACTTGTTTATACAGTTTCCTCTAGGAGGGAAGGGATGGAAATGGGAATAAGTAAACATAACAGAGACTGGTTATGTCAGTAGGCTACAAACAGAGAAGGATGAGTTTCGGCTCTCTGCACATGAGGTCCAATAGCACAGATTTAATACACAGAAGTCCTGGCTCTGGTGGGGCAGCTAACCCCACTAAGCCCCACCCCTCCTGCTGATTGGACTCTGTAAAGCAAACAAAAACAAGTAAATTACACAGGGACGTCAAAGCTGGGAGAAGTGACCCAAATGGGGTGAGTTTTCCAGTTCTGTCTTTTTCCCTCATGTGTGAGCAGCTTTAATTCTAGAAACTCCCTTCTTTCTGTCCAAGCAAATCAGGAAAAAAGGTTCCTGTAGACCAGAGTTGGGGAATGGGGAAGGGGGAAAGCTGGAGAGAAAGGCAAAAAACAAGAATCCTTTAAATCAGTGTATGAATCCACACAGGTCACAAGTTGACCTTAGCCATCAATGTGTGGCATGTACCCATACATACCAGCCTAGCAAAGACTTTGAAAACCAAAATGAGATTTGAACGCTAATGTGACCCAAACCAAAGCAGCAAAAGCTTGGAGAACTGAAATAAGATTGGAAACACCTGCAGAAGTCTCAGACAAGCCCCTGAGCTATTCATGTATGGGACAGCCCAAATCATCATAGCAAAGACCTAAAGGACAGAACTGAGATTTTAACCAATGCCTCCAAAAAGCAAGATAGAAGTTTTGGCCTGAACCTAAAGCAGGGTTGCCTGCTAAAACAGAAACGGCAACATTTCCCAGGAGAATTATAATAGATCCCAAAATCTACACAAAAAATATTCACAATGTTGAGGATAAATTCCAAAATTACGCAACACATAAAGAACCAGGAAAATGTAAGCAATTTTCCTTTTTCCTTTTTTTTTTTTTTGAGATGGAGTCTTGCTCTGTTGCCCATGCTAGAGTGCAGTGGCACAATCTTGGCTCACTGCAACCTCCACCTCCCAGGTTCAAGCTATTCTCCTGCCTCAGCCTCCCAAGTAGCTGAGATTACAGGCATGTGCCACCATGATTGGCTAATTTCTTTGTATTTTTAGTAGAGATGGGGTTTCACCATGTTCACCAGTTCTGGTCTTGAACTCCTGACCTCAGGTGATCCACCCACCTTGGCCTTCCAAAGTGCTGGGATTACAGGCAGAAGCCACCGTGCTCAGCCAATGTGAGCAATTTTCAAAGGAAGAGATGATCAAAACATGCCAACCCCAAGGTAATCCAGATGTTGGAACTGTCAATACTTTCAGTAAAAAGTATTTCCTTATAAATTTCTTTCTTATAAAAGAAAGCACACAAGAAATGAAAGGTAGGAATCATCTGCAGAAAAAGAAACCATAAAAAAGAACCAAATGAAATCTTAGAACTGAAAAATACAATGTCTGAAATAAAAACTCATTGGATGGGTTCAGTAATGGAGAGGACAGAGGAAAGAGTCTGTGAACTTGAAGATCAATCAACAGAAATGACCCAGTCTGAAGAATAAAGAGAAAAAAAGATTGAAAAACAGTCAACAGAGCCGCCATACCAAAAGTTCTAACCTAAGTATAGTTGTAATCCCAGAGGGAGAGGAGAAAGATACTAAGGCAGAAAAATACATTTGAAAAAAAAAATGGTGGAAAATCCCCCACACTTGGTCAAAGATATAAATTTACAGATTCAAGGAGCTCAACAAACACCAAATAGGATAACTCAAAGAAAAATATACCAAGACACATCTTTTTGTTTGGTTTTGAAACAGAGTCTTGTTCTGTTGCCCAGTCCAGAGTACAGTGGTACATGGCTCACTGCAGCTTGAATCTCTCTGGCTCAAGTGACCCTCCCACCTCACCATACCAGACTAGCAGGGACCACAGGTGCACACCATCACGCCCACTAAATTTTTGTGTTTTTTCATAGACATGGGGTCTTGTTGTGTTGCCCAGGCTGGTGCAAAACGCTTCATTACTATTATTATTATTATTTGAGACAGGGTCTCACTCTGTCACTCAGGCTGGAGTGTAGTGGCTCAAGCACAGCCTCCACCTCTCAGGCTTAAACAATCCTCCCACCTCAGCCTCCTCAGTAGTTGAGACCACAAATGTGTACCACCATACCCAGCTCATTCTTTTTTGGTGTGTGTAGAGACGGGGTCTCACTTTGTTGTCCAGGCTGGCCTCAAACTCCTAGGCTCAAGCAATCTTCCTACCTCAGCCTCCCAAAGTGCTGGGATTACAAGAAGGAGCCACGGTACCCAGTGAAGGCACATCTTAATGAAATTATTCAGCCAGGAAGGAGAAGGGAGAGATGGGGGGAAGGTAAAGAGAGGGAAAAAAAAAAAAGAATATAAATGTATTTATTACCACTGAACTGTACACTTAAAAATAGTAAAGATGGCTCGTGCTTATAAGCTCAGCTACTCAGAAGACGCAGGAGGATTGCTTGAGGCCGGGAGTTTAAGGTCAGCCTGGACAACATAGTGAAACCCCATCTCTTAATTTAAAAAAAAAGGGGGGAGGGGGCAGGCATGGTGGTTCATGCCTATAATCCCAGTACTTTGGGAGGCCAAGATCCACTTTGGAGGATCACCTGAGCTCAGGAGTTCAAGACCAGCCTGGCCAACATGGTGAAAACCCATCTCTACTAAAAATACAAAAATTAGCCAGGTGTGGTGGCAGGCGCCTATAGTCCCAGCTATATAGGAGGCTGAGGCAGGAGAATCGCTTGAAACTGGGAGGCAGAAGTTGCAGTGAGCCAAGATCACACCACTGCACTCCAGCCTGGGCGAGAGAGTGAGATTCTATGTCTCAAATAAATAAATAAATAAATAAAATAAACTAAGCTGGGTGCAGTGGCTCAAGCCTGCAATCCCAGCACTTTAGGAGGCTGAGGCAGGCAGATCCCTTGATTCCAAGAATTCAAGACCAGCCTGGGAAACATGGTGAAACCCTATCTCTATTAAAAATACAAAAAATTAGCCAGGTGTGGTAGTGTGCATCTGTAGTCCCAGCTACTCAGCAGGCTGAGGTGGGAGAATCATCTGAGCCCAGAAGGAAAAGTGGGCAGAGGTTGTGCCGGTGCACTCCAGCCTGGGCAATGAGAGTTAGACCCTGTTTCAAAAAACTATTCAAAGACAACAATTTTGTTTTAAACTAGAAAGCTTCAGAAAAGTGGCATATTACATTACAGAAAATAATTTAAATGACCATGGGTTTCTCAACAGAAACCAAGAAGACCAGAACACAGTACCGTAACTTTAAAATAAGCCAATGTAATGGTTCACATTTGTAATCCAAGCACTTTGGGAGGCCAAGGGAGGGGGACTGTTTGAGCCCACAAGTTCAAGAACAGCTTGGGCAACATAGCAAGACCCTGTCTCTACAAAAAATAATTTTTTTTTTTTGAGACAGAGTCTTGCTCTGTCGCCAGGTGCCAGGCTGGAGTGCAGTGGCACGATCTCGGCTCACTGCAACCTCTGCCTCCCGCGTCAAGCAATTCTCCTGCCTTAGCCTCCCGACTAGCTGGGACTACAGGCGTGCACCACCACACCCAGCTAATTTTTTTGTGTTTTTAGTAGAGATGGGGTTTCACCATGTTGGCCAGGATGCTCTCCATCACTTGACCTAGTGATCCGCCCACCTCAGCCTCCCAAAGTGCTGGGATTACAGGCGTCAGCCAAGGCGCCTGGCCAAAAAATAATTTTAAGAACTTAATTGTACATTTTAAAATAGCTAAAAGAGTGTAATTGGATTGTCTATACCACAAAGGATAAATGCTTGAGGGGATGGAGAAAAAGAAAAAGAAATATCCTTAAAATCTTGAGAGAAAAAAATTTGTCAATTCAGAATTCTATATCCAGTAAAAATACCCTCAGAAATAAAAAGAATTCGTTGTAAGCAGACCTGCTCCATATGAAATGCTAAAACAAATGATTCCAGCTGAAGAAAAATAATACCAGAGAGAAACTTGGATTTTTAAGAATGAAGAAAGAGCAACAGAAATGATAAATAGGCCGGGGTAGATGCCTCACACCTCTGTAATCCCAGCTACTGGGAGGCTGAGGTGGGAGGACCACTTGAGCCCAGAAAGCAAGGAAGGTGCCACCAACTCCAGCCTGGGCATCAGAGCGAGACACGGTCTCTAAAAAAACAAGAGCTGGGAGGGGCATACACTAAGCATTCATATAATCCCAAAGAGGAAATAGAGGAACAAAAAACAAGGGATAAACAGAGAACAAAAAATAAAAGAGTAGACCTATCCAACCGTACCAACAAATAATTTAAATGTTTGCAGTCTAAATAATCCAATTACAAGTCAGCTATTGACAAATTAAAAAGTGATATCCTACTACTACATGCTATCTACAAGAAGCACTCTAAAATATAAAGATATCTGTAGATTGAAAGTAAACAGATGAAAAAATTGTATCATACAATCAGCAAACATAAGAAGGCTGGAATGA